ACATAAAATGGTTGCGTTTCTTCTGGTGCTATCGATTCGACGACGGTTACAGTTGTTTGTGGTGTTTTGCCTTCTTCTTGAACCGTAACAATCTGAGTAGTTTCCTCAATATTTCCTTTCTTCTTCTTAATAACCCGTGTACGTTCAATTGTTTTCTTTTCAAGTCCATCAGTGACGGTCTTTGTTTCACGAATTTCTTCAGGAAGTTCAGTAATTGTTTCTTCCACACTTTCTTCGGGTTGCTTGCCAACAGGTTTTTTGCCTCGCCTCCACGCTTTGGGTTCAAGTTGTTCTTCCACTACACTTGCGGGCGTTATGAAAGTTGAAACTTCTTTCTCTTGAGGTTTGTGCACTGGTTTCGTAACGCGTTTCTGTGTACCAGTTTCCGGTTTCTCTTCAACCGTGACATCAGACGTAATTAATGTCTTGTCTTCGATGTTTCTGACTGGTTTCTTTACAGGAGTTAGTGAACTTTCCTCCTGTTTTGGCGCTTCCTCTATTTTTTTCTTGGGTGTCGGTTTCAGGCTAATTTCTTGTTTGTTCCAGGGAATGGGTTCTTCTTTTTTCGCTAAAGGTATTTTGTCTAAAGCTGCCTTGGGCTTAATTTCTTCTGGAATTACAAGTTCTTCTTGTTGTTCTTTTGGTTTTATGTCTGTTGGCTTTGGACCCCGCTTCCATGGTTTTGCTTCCAATATTTTGTCCTGTTGCGGCACTTGCGTAGGTTTAGGTTCTTCGTGAACTAGCGCTTCTTCTGGTTTAGCTTCTAGTGGAGCTTGTTCAGATTTCGGACCCCTTGTCCAACTTTTCACTTCAAGTTTTGTATCTGTTTTAGAGTCAACTTGTTCTTTCATGTCAATAAACATTTTATCTTCAACTTGATGAATTGAACTAAGGTCTTCTTGAGGTTTGCCAGGTTTTAAATCCGGTTGCTTTAACTCTATTTTTGATCGCTCTTCAATCGTAACATCAGACGTGGTTATTGTTTTGTCTTCAGTGCTTCTAACTGGTTTCTTTACAGGGGTTAACAAAATTTCTTCCTGTTTTGGTGCATCCTCTATCTTCTTCTTCGGGGTCGGTTTAAGGCTAATTTCCTGTTTGTTCCAGGGAATGGGCTCTTCTTGTTGCGTTATAGGTGTAGATTTGGGGCCCTGTTTAGGTTTAGGTTTTTCGGCAACAAATGCTTCTTCTGGTGTAGCTTCTAATGGAGTTTCTTCAGGCTTAGGGCCCCGTTTCCAAGTTTTCTCTTCAAGCTTTGTATCTTTTCTAGATTCAACTTGTTCTTTCATCTCAATAACGGTTTTATCTTCAACATGATGAATCGAACTAAGTTTTTCATTTTGTTCGCTTGGTTTTTCTTGGACTGCTGCTGTTATTTCTTCTTGTACGTCAGATGTGATAATTTGTTTATCATCGACTGAACGTACTGGTTTTTTAATAGGAGTCAGGGAAACTTCCTCAATTTTAGTTGTTTCTTCTACGGATTTCTTTGGAGTAGGTTTCAAACTAATTTCTTGCTTGTTCCAAGGAATGGGCTCGTCTTCCCTCGCTAAAGGTGTTTTCTTGGGGGCTGCCTTCGGCTTAATTTCTTCAGGGATTAAAGGTTTTTCTTGCTGTTCTTTTGGTAGTAATTCTGTTGTTTTGGGGCCCCTTTTCCATGGTTTTGCTTCAACGATTTCTTCTTTCACCACTTCTTTTTCTTGTAAGCTTACCAAAGTAGTGTCCTCAGTGTGCTGCACAGGAGCTATTTGTTCTTCCAGCTTCCCAACAGCCTTCGTTCCTCTTTGCCACGTTTTCGATTCCACCGTCTCCCCATGTTCTTCCACTCGCTCTTGAAAGATAAGTCTACTCGCATCTTCAATATGTTGAACTGTAGTGGCATCTACAGTTGGTTTTTCGGTTTTAGGAGCTCTTTTCCAACTTTTTTCTTCCAACGTTAGCGACTGGGAAACCTTTTCATGCTCCGTTACCTGTAGTAGGGTTGTGTCTTCTGTGGCAGATAAAACTGCCGTTCTTTCAACGGTATCGAATTGAGCAATTTGTGTTTGTTCTGTAGTTTGAACAACTGTGTCACCTGTTTTAACTGGCCTGGATGGTTTCAGGTCTACTTGTTCTATGGTTTCTTTTGCAGTTTGCTTTCTTTCAATCGTTGTTTTCTTTAAAGTTATTGGTTGCTCATTCCAAGGAGCTGGTGCTTCTTTAGGCGCATGTTGATGCTCTTCTTTTTGGACAACTGTTTCTCGTTTCCAGGCTTTAGTATCTGTGTCCTGTACTTGTTGAGACTCAATAATTGTTTTCTGAGTTGTTTCTGTGGTTTGTTTAGAGGTTATTGCTTCTGGTTTTGCTCCTCTTTCCCAGGTTTTTACCTCTGGTTGGGATTCCATAAGTTCAGAGGTATGCTTTGTAATGTCTAGCAGCGTTCGATCTTCAACATGGCGAATTTCAGTTTTTGCAGCAGATTTTTGTTTTGAAATTTCTTGTTGTTCTAATTGAATTTCCAACGTTTTTTCTTGTATTTCTTGCTGCACAGGTAGAGGTTCTGCTGGTTTTTGACTAGGAATTTGCGCTAGTGGTTTAAGTGAGAAGTCTTCCAGTTGTTCTTTGGTGATTTCTTTCTTCTCAATAACGGCGTGTTTGAGGCGAATTTCTTCTTCCGTCCACGGGATCGGTTCACCGGGCTTTCTTTCCGTAATTAGCGACTTCAATTCAGTATCTCTGATATCGGGTATTTTGGTAATTGGTTTGAGGGCAACTTCTTCAAGAGTTTCTTTGGGAATTTCTTTCTTTTCGTGCAAGGTAGGATTAAGACTAATTTCTTCCTCCGTCCAGGGTATTCCTTCTCCTTCCAGTCTCAGAGGGGTAAGTTTGGTTTCTAGCAATTCCGTAAGGTCTACTGATTTAAGATGCACCTCCTCTAAGGTTTCTTTGGGGATTTCCTTCTTCTCTTGCGGCGTTGGTTTCAAGTCGATATCCTCTTCAATCCATGGAACAGGTTCGCCAGGTTCTCTAGGTTTTTCTAATTTGGCTTGTTTTAATGCTTGGATTTCTTCCAAAGTAACAGGTTTTAATACGACATCTTCAAGTTTCTCTTTGGGAATTTCTTTGAACTTCGCTATTTGATCTTTAGGGGCCGCCTTGAGAGTTATCTTTTCTTCCGTCCAAGGAATTATTTTTGCCTGTTGAGGCTGAGGCGTGGGAATTTTCCGAACCGCATGTTGAGCTTTAGCTAGGACAGTATCAATGTCTATTTCGACTGAATCTTGTTTCTCCAAAGTTTGACGCCATGCTTGGCGCTTAAGTTCAGCTGCTATATCTGCAGGTTTGGGTGTCCGCCAGTCTTTCTGTGCTGGCTCTGGAGTAGTTTTCACTATGTGTTCTTGTTGTTTTTGATCCAATGTTAGAAGAGTACTGTCTTCAGTAGCTGACCTAATCTGACTACTTGGAGTCTTTGGAGCGGTGCGCCAATCTTGCTGTGCGACTTGAGCTTGTTCAATGCTCTGCGCTACGAATGAATCAGTAATATGTTTTTCTAAGCTGACTGGCTTTAGCTCCACATCTTCCAACACTGCTCTCGGTATTTCTTTTTGCACTGGTTTGCTTACTTTCAGGTGAACTTCTTCAAGTTTCTCCTTCACTGGTTCCCTATGTTCCACTTTGGCTTTCTTTAACACGATTTGCTCTTCAGTCCACGGTTGGACTTGCTTGGGTTTAGATAAATCTTTAAACTCTTCACTTGTTTCGAGCTGTTTTCGCGCAAACCGTCTCCACAATAGGGACTCGTCCCCTACTGGAAGTTCATTGGGTTCTAAGGGTTGGCCCGTTTTTGAGCCGGGTGCAAAGGGTACTGAGCTAACACCAACTCCACCGGGAGTTGGTGCACCGTTAAGTTGTGTGGCGATTGGGGTGGTTCCCGGTTGGGAAGAAACGGCGGTGGAAGGTGATTTACGGAACGTTCCAGGACGTCCTAAAAGTTGTACAATTTATTGACCTCCATAAACCTACCTTTAGAAGGTCAACGATATGGCATGCAACACTCACACTTACAGTTAAAATTTACATAGTTTTCGGTGGAAATACTTTGCAAAACATTGCTTAGAAAGTTCTTAGAATTAGGTCATTAGTTGTTTTTTCTTGTTTCAGAGTATGGGTTTAGTGGTGCCGGAGTGAATATTTGTTTCCAACAGTAAGTACCATATTTTAGGGAGTGATTTAATCTGTCTCTATATTCGTAAATGATCCCTCTATAATTATTTGATCTATCGACTAATTCGATCTGGGAATCTCATTGAAGAATGGTTTAAATTACTTGTCGATGCCCTACTTATGTAAATGTTTAATTTTATTGTTTTATAAATTTCTGTCTTTGTAAATTTCTATTTTTTTTTCAGTCAGTTGTAAATTTTGTGAGTTTAGTTTTGAATTGCGAGTAGTTAAATACTTGTGGTAATACTGAGGCAAAAACATCAGGATTTTACCTAATTTTCTAACTCAAAAGATTCGAATCATTTAACAATTAGACAGACTAGCTATTAGTAAACGCTTTTCACCACTGAAACATTCTGAACGTTTTTTCGTTATCTCTAGAAAATCATTTTAATGCCATAAAAGAACTCAGACAGTCATCTAGAATAATCAACACAAATGTAAAAAAAATTCAAAACAGGGTGGACATCTGTCCCCTTTGCTATTCAATTGCTATGTCAATCATATATGTGTTAATGTAAAATATTGTAAGTTTTTATTATTCGCTGATAATTAAAGCTTTATTCAAGAATATCCTGTACTGATGATTGTTTAAATGTACAAGCGGATTTAAATGCTCTGAATAACTGGTGTGAAGTAAATTTTATGCAATTGAACATCTCTAAGTGCAAGGTTATGCGGTTCTCCATGATTGTAACTGTTGTTTCTGGTTGCTTGCCTTCTTCTTGTACCGTTAAAATTTCCAGAGTTTCATCTTTGCTTCCTTTTCTTCTTTGATACCCCGTTTTCAACTACTACAGTTTCTTTAATTTCAATTGGGAGTTCTTCCACAAGATATTCTGGCTGAGGCCCTTCATGGATTTCCGATTCAGGAATATCAATTTCCTTAATACTAACTTCAGTCACTGGCCTCTTGCCTTCTTGCTCAGTCACGGTTATTTCGGTTATTTCTTGTTTACTACCCTTTCGAGTTTTAATAGTCTTTTTCTTTTCAATCCTTTTTTTAGGTCTTCCTTCAACTAGGACTGTGGTTTCAGAAATTTCTTCAGGGAGTTCTTCAACAGAGTAGATCGGTTGTTCCGGTATATCTTCTGGAATTGTTTCTTCTTCTACAGTAACAGTAGTTTGAGGCACTTTGCCTTCTTCCTCTACGGAAACTATTTCCGTTGTTTCCTCTTTGTCACCAATACGTTTTTTAATAACCCGTTTTCGCGATCTAACTTTTTTGGAAACTCCATCTTGAATGACGGTAGTTTCTTGGACTTCCTCAGGTAATTCCATGACTGTGTATTTAGGTACATCGTCAGGCACTACGTGTTCTGGTAGATTTTTGGCAAGGCGCATTTTGATAAGTTCCGTCTGCAACATATCGACAACATCGTCGGGTTGTGTTTCTTTTGGATGTGCCAGACTTGGGACAAAAAGGTAGCCCTCAGGTGTGACCAGTGGACTCTCACTTTTTGCTTGCTTTTTAGTTTTCTTTATTTTTGGTTTTGGAATTAACTGTTGATCCTCTACAGGCTCTTCTGTCACCAGCACTGTTGTTAGCGGGGCTTTACCTTCTTCTTCTATAACCACAATTTCAGTAGTTTCGTCTTTACTACCTCGCCTCTTTTTTATTGTTCGCTTTGTCTTAATTTTCTGTTTGATGACGCCTTGCTCTACAACATTGACTTCACTAATTTCTTCTGGAAGTTCTGTGATAACTGGCCTATCCGGAATATCTGACACCGTGTCTTGTGTTTGAACTGTTACCGTTGTTTGGGGCTTTTTACCCTCCTCATGGATTGTAACAATTTCGGTTAACTCATCTTTTCCCTGTTTATCTTTTTTCTTAATTGTTCGCTTCTTTTCGACCCTTTTCTTAGAAATTCCATCTTTAACCACAACGGTTTCTTGGATTTCCACAGGTAATTCTTCCACTGCATATTCTGGTTGTTCTATCTCTTCAAATGGAATAGATTCTTCATGAATTATCACTTCGGTCACGGGTGCCTCTCTACCCTTCTGTGTAATAACAATTTCAGTAATTTCTTGTTTGTCACCTTTTTTAGTTTTAATCACCCTCTTCTTAATAATTTTCTTCTGCGGTCGACCTTGCTCTACAACAGTTGTTTCATACACTTCTTCTGGGAGTTCCTCAACTCTATACAATGGCTGCTCTTCCGCAATTTTCGGAGCCACGTCTTCTTCGATAGTTACCGTTGTTTGGGGTACCTTACCCTCTTCTTCAACGGTAACTATCTCAGTTGTTTCTTCTTTACTACCTCGGCGTTTTTTAATAACGCGTTTTCTTGTTTTCTGTTTCCTAGTAATTCCATCTTCAATTACTGTGGTTTCGCGAACTTCTGTAGGTAATTCTTCCATTGTGGTAAGAAGCGAATCTGGTTGAACCATTTTGGCGGGATGGAGCTTTTCAATTTTCTCGTCAGTTCCCTTCGCCAGTTTTACTTTTTCTTTTTTCGCTCGCTTTAAGGTGACGTCAGGAACTTTCGGAGTTTCGTCGATGATTGTAACTGTTGTTTCTGGTTGCTTGCCTTCTTCTTGTACCGTTAAAATTTCCAGAGTTTCATCTTTGCTTCCTTTTCGCTTCTTGATTACGCGCTTCTTAGTAACCTTCTTCTCCATTACACCTTGATCAAAAACTGTTGTTTCTTGGATCTCCTCAGGCAATTCTTGGATTACTTCTTCCGTTTTGACGGGTTTAAGTTCGACAGTCTCTCCTTTTTCTTTTGCAGGCTTTATTTGCTTAGGTGCTCTCTTAAGCTTGACTTGTTCCGTCCAAGGAAGGTCCGCTTTCTTTTGTTCAATGACTCGCTTTTTCGGTTTTCGTGGTGTTTCTTCTTCCGTTACAGTCACAGTTGTTTCAGGTTTTTTACCTTCCTGTTCAAGCGTAATAATTTCGGTTACCTCATCTTTACTACCCTTTCGCTTTTTAATGACACGTTTCTTGATAACCTGTTTCTCTTTAATACCCTTTTTATCAACTATGATTTCTGATATTTGTTCTGGTAGCTCCTCAACAAGAGGTTGTAGGAAAATAGTGTCTGGATGGATAAAGTCTTCCGATATTGTAACCGTTGTTTCTGGTTTTTTGCCGTCTTCTTGCACAGTTACGATTTCGGTAATTTGTTCTTTGCCGTCTTTCCTTTTTTTCAAAGTGCGTTTTTTTATTACCGTTTTGCTGGTAACTCCTCCATCAACACTGATAACCTCTTGGGTTTCAATTGGCAATTCTTCGACTACATACTCGGTCTGAACCGGAACTTCATCAGCTGGTGCTTCTACTTCAGTAATTGTTACTGTGGTGCTCGGTGCTTTGCCTTCCATTTCTGTAGTGGTCAGCTCAGTAATTTCTTGTTTATTGCCCTTTCGTGTCTTGATGATACGTTTCTTCTGAACTTTTTGTTTTTTCAAGCCTCCTTCAATCACTGTACTGACAGATACTTGCTCTGGCAGTTCCTCTACTGTGTAAATAGGTTGTTCAGCCATTTCCTCCGGAATTTGCACCTCTTCAACTTGGACTTGGATTTGTGGAGCTTTTCCTTCTTCTTCGACAGTCACAATTTCAGTCGTCTCTTCTTTGCTGCCTCTGCGCTTCTTAATAACACGCTTCTTTTTAATTTGCTTTTTGGCGACCCCTTTATCGATAACAATTGTTTCTTGAACTTCTTCAGGCAATTCTTCTACCTCAACTACAGGTAAGATTTCTGAAACTTCCACTTTTTTGGGCTTTCGCTTCGGTTTTATTTGGTCTGGCTTGCGATCGTCTTCAGTAATGCTTACAGTTGTTTCAGCTAATTTTCCTTCTTCCTCTAGTGTTACTATTTCAGTAATCTCATCTTTATCACCTTTCCTCTTTCTAATAATGCGTTTTCTAATCGTTTTCTGTTTAGTGACTCCTTCATCTACAACCACTACCTGTTGCGTTTCTTCAGGTAGCTCTTTAATAAAAGGTTTTTCTGAATCTTCCTCTGGAACCTGTTCGTACGTAACAATACTGGTTTCAGGCAATTTGCCTTCTTCTTCTACGGTTATTATTTCCGTAATTTCATCTTTGCCAGCTCGTTTTTTCTTGATAGTTCGTTTCTTTTCCACTTTCTTCTTGGAAACTCCATGATCAAAAACGACGTCTTCTCTAATTTCAATGGGCAGTTCTTCAATTGATGTGTCTTCAGGTTGTTCAGATGGAATTTTAGGCGCGTCAATTTCTTCTGTTCTTACTGTTACCTCAGGCTTTTTACCTTCTTGCTCTAAAACGACGATTTCAGTAACTTCTTGTTTATCGCCTTTAGTTGTTTTAATAACACGTTTCTTTTGAACTTGTTTCTTTCTAACTCCGTCCTCTATTACAGATGTTTCAAGTATCTGCTCGGGTTCTTCCTCCACTTTATAGATCGGTTGAACAACCTCCTTTTCGGGAATTGTCACGTTTTCGATAGTGACGGTTGTTTGCGGAGCTTTGCCCTCCTCTTGAATGGTTACGATTTGTGTTGTTTCTTCCTTGTCACCGACTCGCTTCTTAATGACCCGTTTTTTGGATGTTTGTTTTCTGATTTTTCCCTTATCAGTCACGACCGTTTCATGAATTTCTTCCGGAAGTTCTTCAATAGTCACAGGTGTATCGGTGATTTCCGGTTTTACTGGTTTAAGCTTTATTATTTCACTTTCAACGGGGGCTTCTTGTTGTTTTTTAGGAGTTCGTTTGAGTTTGACTTGTTCAGTCCACGGTAAATCTGTAACCGGTTTTTCTACCGTTTTTTCAACGGGTTTGTCTTCTTCATGGACCGTAACTTGAATATCCGGGTTTTTGCCTTCTTCTTCAATAGTGACAATTTCTGTGATTTGTTGCTTTCCATCTTTTTCCTTTCTGATTGTTCGCGTTTTTGCGACCTTCTTTTTGCGAATACCTTTATCGACAACTACTGTTTCGGAGATCTGAACTGGCAGTTCTTCTACAGTTTCGAATGTCTCGTCTAGTGTTTCAGGAAGCGTATCTTCAATTTCATGAACTGTAATAGTGACTTCTGGTTTTTCGCCCTCTAACTGTGTGGTCAGTACTTCTGTGAGTTCTTGCGTTTTGCCTTTTGTTGTTTTGATTACTCTCCTTTTTTCTACTTTCCTTCGTTCAATACCTTGTACTACTACAGTGCTTTCAGAAATTTTCTCCGGAAGTTCTTCTACTTTATAGATTGGTTGTGTTGCGACTGCCTCAGGAACTTCTTGCTCCTCAACTGTTACAGTCGTTTGAGGTTCTTTTCCGTCTTCTGCTACTGTAACAATCTGCGTGGTTTCCTCCTTATCCCCAGTTCTTTTTTTAATAACACGCGTTTTAGTTACTTGCACTTTGGCTTCTCCCTTGTCAATGACGGTCGTTTGCTGAATTTCTTCAGGAAGTTCTTGAACTACTGGAGCTTCCTCAGGCTGGGGTATTTGCGATTTTTTGACTGGTTTTAACCGAATTTCTTCACGTGTTTCTTCCTCGGGTTTGTTTGTCTTTGGAGTCTGTTTAAGTTCAACTTGTTTTGTCCAGGGAATTTCTACTGTTTCTTGTGGAACAGGTATTTTTTGGGGCTTTTTCTTGTCAATTATTTCCTCGGTGACTGTGACTACTGTCTCTGGTTTCTGACCTTCTTCTTCCAAAGTAACAATCTCAGTAGTTTCTTCCTTATCGCCTTTTGTCTTTTTTAGCGTTTTCTTTGTGAGCAGTTTCTTTTTTGTTACTCCTGCATCTATTACTGTTACTTCCTGCACGTCTTCAGGTAATTCTTCTATTAGCGGTTTTTCTAGGTCTTGAATTGTTTGGGTGGTGTCTTCAAACGTCCGAACTGTTGTTTTAGGCTTTTTGCCTGGTTCTTCTACTGTAATTATTTCTGTAGTTTGCACTTTGTCGTCTTGCATCTTCTTAATTCTTCGCTTCTTTTCAACAACTGTCTTTGGCTTGCCTTTCTCAATAATTGTGGTTTCGTAGATTTCTGTTGGAAGCTCTTCGACTGCGAATTCTTGCTCAATTGGCATTTCTTCGAAATCAGTGGCTTCGCTCTCTGTAATTGTTACTACAGTTTCCGTGGGTCTGTCTTCCCGTTCTACGGTTGTAATTTGAGTTATTTCCTGTTTGTTGTCCTTCCTGGTTTTAATAACTCGTTTTCTTTCAGTTATCTTTTTCGGAACTCCTTCTTCAATAACAGTAGTTTCGAAAACTTCTTCTGGCAGCTCTTTAACCGAATATATCGGCTGAGTGGTTTGTTCCTCCGTTATTGATTGTTTTTCAGTTACAATTGTTGTCTCTGGGATGTTGCCTTCCTTTTCGACAGTAACAATTTGAGTCGTTTCTTCCTTACTACCTTTTCTTTTTTTTATAACTCTTGTTTTCGTTACGGTTTTCTCAATTTTACCTTTATCAACTGTAGTGGACACCTGAATCTGTTCGGGCAGTTCTTCTATTATTGCTTGGGCGGATGGCTGCGTAGGTATTTGTTTTAACTCAACCTTATCTTCTTCTTCACTTTCCTGAGGTTTCTTCGCTTTTGCACGCTTAAGCTGAACTTGTTCAGTCCAGGGAATCACCTCCTCTTTCGGTTGTTCTTGTCGCTGTTTCTTTGGTCTTTTCTTGATGTCTTGCTCCGTTACCGTTACAGTTGTCTCGGTTGGCTTATCGTCTTGTTCAGTTGTGATAATTTCAGTAATTTCTTTCTTTCCAGCAATCACCTTTTCAATGACTCTCTTTTTGGTTGTCCTATGTTTCGGAATTCCACTTTCAATCACTGTAGATTCGAGTATTTCAAGAGGTAATTCACGAACAGTAAATATTGATTCTTCTTCAATTGCCGGATGCTGTTCAGTGGTAACTACGTGCTCCGGTTTCTTACCGTCTTCCACAGCAGTCACAATTTGTGTTGTTTCCTTTATACCGTCTTTTTGTTTCTGAATCGTTCTTGTTTTAACCACCTTCTTGGTTGTTTTACTAGCATCAGTAACCACAGTTTCAAGAATTTGAACTGGCAGTTCTTGTACTACGTATTCAGGTTCAATTGGTTCTTGTTTGACAACTGGAACGTTTTTCACGGTAACTGAAGTTATTGGCTTATCACCTGGTTTCTGTGTGACAATTATTTCTGTTACGTCCTTTCTGTCGCCCTTCTTTGTTTCAATAACTCGTTTCCTTTCGATTATCTTTTTAGGTATGCCTTGTTCAATAACAGTGGTTTCTTGGACCTTGGTGGGCAGTTCTTCCACAACATAAAATGGTTGCGTTTCTTCTGGTGCTATCGATTCGACGACGGTTACAGTTGTTTGTGGTGTTTTGCCTTCTTCTTGAACCGTAACAATCTGAGTAGTTTCCTCAATATTTCCTTTCTTCTTCTTAATAACCCGTGTACGTTCAATTGTTTTCTTTTCAAGTCCATCAGTGACGGTCTTTGTTTCACGAATTTCTTCAGGAAGTTCAGTAATTGTTTCTTCCACACTTTCTTCGGGTTGCTTGCCAACAGGTTTTTTGCCTCGCCTCCACGCTTTGGGTTCAAGTTGTTCTTCCACTACACTTGCGGGCGTTATGAAAGTTGAAACTTCTTTCTCTTGAGGTTTGTGCACTGGTTTCGTAACGCGTTTCTGTGTACCAGTTTCCGGTTTCTCTTCAACCGTGACATCAGACGTAATTAATGTCTTGTCTTCGATGTTTCTGACTGGTTTCTTTACAGGAGTTAGTGAACTTTCCTCCTGTTTTGGCGCTTCCTCTATTTTTTTCTTGGGTGTCGGTTTCAGGCTAATTTCTTGTTTGTTCCAGGGAATGGGTTCTTCTTTTTTCGCTAAAGGTATTTTGTCTAAAGCTGCCTTGGGCTTAATTTCTTCTGGAATTACAAGTTCTTCTTGTTGTTCTTTTGGTTTTATGTCTGTTGGCTTTGGACCCCGCTTCCATGGTTTTGCTTCCAATATTTTGTCCTGTTGCGGCACTTGCGTAGGTTTAGGTTCTTCGTGAACTAGCGCTTCTTCTGGTTTAGCTTCTAGTGGAGCTTGTTCAGATTTCGGACCCCTTGTCCAACTTTTCACTTCAAGTTTTGTATCTGTTTTAGAGTCAACTTGTTCTTTCATGTCAATAAACATTTTATCTTCAACTTGATGAATTGAACTAAGGTCTTCTTGAGGTTTGCCAGGTTTTAAATCCGGTTGCTTTAACTCTATTTTTGATCGCTCTTCAATCGTAACATCAGACGTGGTTATTGTTTTGTCTTCAGTGCTTCTAACTGGTTTCTTTACAGGGGTTAACAAAATTTCTTCCTGTTTTGGTGCATCCTCTATCTTCTTCTTCGGGGTCGGTTTAAGGCTAATTTCCTGTTTGTTCCAGGGAATGGGCTCTTCTTGTTGCGTTATAGGTGTAGATTTGGGGCCCTGTTTAGGTTTAGGTTTTTCGGCAACAAATGCTTCTTCTGGTGTAGCTTCTAATGGAGTTTCTTCAGGCTTAGGGCCCCGTTTCCAAGTTTTCTCTTCAAGCTTTGTATCTTTTCTAGATTCAACTTGTTCTTTCATCTCAATAACGGTTTTATCTTCAACATGATGAATCGAACTAAGTTTTTCATTTTGTTCGCTTGGTTTTTCTTGGACTGCTGCTGTTATTTCTTCTTGTACGTCAGATGTGATAATTTGTTTATCATCGACTGAACGTACTGGTTTTTTAATAGGAGTCAGGGAAACTTCCTCAATTTTAGTTGTTTCTTCTACGGATTTCTTTGGAGTAGGTTTCAAACTAATTTCTTGCTTGTTCCAAGGAATGGGCTCGTCTTCCCTCGCTAAAGGTGTTTTCTTGGGGGCTGCCTTCGGCTTAATTTCTTCAGGGATTAAAGGTTTTTCTTGCTGTTCTTTTGGTAGTAATTCTGTTGTTTTGGGGCCCCTTTTCCATGGTTTTGCTTCAACGATTTCTTCTTTCACCACTTCTTTTTCTTGTAAGCTTACCAAAGTAGTGTCCTCAGTGTGCTGCACAGGAGCTATTTGTTCTTCCAGCTTCCCAACAGCCTTCGTTCCTCTTTGCCACGTTTTCGATTCCACCGTCTCCCCATGTTCTTCCACTCGCTCTTGAAAGATAAGTCTACTCGCATCTTCAATATGTTGAACTGTAGTGGCATCTACAGTTGGTTTTTCGGTTTTAGGAGCTCTTTTCCAACTTTTTTCTTCCAACGTTAGCGACTGGGAAACCTTTTCATGCTCCGTTACCTGTAGTAGGGTTGTGTCTTCTGTGGCAGATAAAACTGCCGTTCTTTCAACGGTATCGAATTGAGCAATTTGTGTTTGTTCTGTAGTTTGAACAACTGTGTCACCTGTTTTAACTGGCCTGGATGGTTTCAGGTCTACTTGTTCTATGGTTTCTTTTGCAGTTTGCTTTCTTTCAATCGTTGTTTTCTTTAAAGTTATTGGTTGCTCATTCCAAGGAGCTGGTGCTTCTTTAGGCGCATGTTGATGCTCTTCTTTTTGGACAACTGTTTCTCGTTTCCAGGCTTTAGTATCTGTGTCCTGTACTTGTTGAGACTCAATAATTGTTTTCTGAGTTGTTTCTGTGGTTTGTTTAGAGGTTATTGCTTCTGGTTTTGCTCCTCTTTCCCAGGTTTTTACCTCTGGTTGGGATTCCATAAGTTCAGAGGTATGCTTTGTAATGTCTAGCAGCGTTCGATCTTCAACATGGCGAATTTCAGTTTTTGCAGCAGATTTTTGTTTTGAAATTTCTTGTTGTTCTAATTGAATTTCCAACGTTTTTTCTTGTATTTCTTGCTGCACAGGTAGAGGTTCTGCTGGTTTTTGACTAGGAATTTGCGCTAGTGGTTTAAGTGAGAAGTCTTCCAGTTGTTCTTTGGTGATTTCTTTCTTCTCAATAACGGCGTGTTTGAGGCGAATTTCTTCTTCCGTCCACGGGATCGGTTCACCGGGCTTTCTTTCCGTAATTAGCGACTTCAATTCAGTATCTCTGATATCGGGTATTTTGGTAATTGGTTTGAGGGCAACTTCTTCAAGAGTTTCTTTGGGAATTTCTTTCTTTTCGTGCAAGGTAGGATTAAGACTAATTTCTTCCTCCGTCCAGGGTATTCCTTCTCCTTCCAGTCTCAGAGGGGTAAGTTTGGTTTCTAGCAATTCCGTAAGGTCTACTGATTTAAGATGCACCTCCTCTAAGGTTTCTTTGGGGATTTCCTTCTTCTCTTGCGGCGTTGGTTTCAAGTCGATATCCTCTTCAATCCATGGAACAGGTTCGCCAGGTTCTCTAGGTTTTTCTAATTTGGCTTGTTTTAATGCTTGGATTTCTTCCAAAGTAACAGGTTTTAATACGACATCTTCAAGTTTCTCTTTGGGAATTTCTTTGAACTTCGCTATTTGATCTTTAGGGGCCGCCTTGAGAGTTATCTTTTCTTCCGTCCAAGGAATTATTTTTGCCTGTTGAGGCTGAGGCGTGGGAATTTTCCGAACCGCATGTTGAGCTTTAGCTAGGACAGTATCAATGTCTATTTCGACTGAATCTTGTTTCTCCAAAGTTTGACGCCATGCTTGGCGCTTAAGTTCAGCTGCTATATCTGCAGGTTTGGGTGTCCGCCAGTCTTTCTGTGCTGGCTCTGGAGTAGTTTTCACTATGTGTTCTTGTTGTTTTTGATCCAATGTTAGAAGAGTACTGTCTTCAGTAGCTGACCTAATCTGACTACTTGGAGTCTTTGGAGCGGTGCGCCAATCTTGCTGTGCGACTTGAGCTTGTTCAATGCTCTGCGCTACGAATGAATCAGTAATATGTTTTTCTAAGCTGACTGGCTTTAGCTCCACATCTTCCAACACTGCTCTCGGTATTTCTTTTTGCACTGGTTTGCTTACTTTCAGGTGAACTTCTTCAAGTTTCTCCTTCACTGGTTCCCTATGTTCCACTTTGGCTTTCTTTAACACGATTTGCTCTTCAGTCCACGGTTGGACTTGCTTGGGTTTAGATAAATCTTTAAACTCTTCACTTGTTTCGAGCTGTTTTCGCGCAAACCGTCTCCACAATAGGGACTCGTCCCCTACTGGAAGTTCATTGGGTTCTAAGGGTTGGCCCGTTTTTGAGCCGGGTGCAAAGGGTACTGAGCTAACACCAACTCCACCGGGAGTTGGTGCACCGTTAAGTTGTGTGGCGATTGGGGTGGTTCCCGGTTGGGAAGAAACGGCGGTGGAAGGTGATTTACGGAACGTTCCAGGACGTCCTAAAAGTTGTACAATTTATTGACCTCCATAAACCTACCTTTAGAAGGTCAACGATATGGCATGCAACACTCACACTTACAGTTAAAATTTACATAGTTTTCGGTGGAAATACTTTGCAAAACATTGCTTAGAAAGTTCTTAGAATTAGGTCATTAGTTGTTTTTTCTTGTTTCAGAGTATGGGTTTAGTGGTGCCGGAGTGAATATTTGTTTCCAACAGTAAGTACCATATTTTAGGGAGTGATTTAATCTGTCTCTATATTCGTAAATGATCCCTCTATAATTATTTGATCTATCGACTAATTCGATCTGGGAATCTCATTGAAGAATGGTTTAAATTACTTGTCGATGCCCTACTTATGTAAATGTTTAATTTTATTGTTTTATAAATTTCTGTCTTTGTAAATTTCTATTTTTTTTTCAGTCAGTTGTAAATTTTGTGAGTTTAGTTTTGAATTGCGAGTAGTTAAATACTTGTGGTAATACTGAGGCAAAAACATCAGGATTTTACCTAATTTTCTAACTCAAAAGATTCGAATCATTTAACAATTAGACAGACTAGCTATTAGTAAACGCTTTTCACCACTGAAACATTCTGAACGTTTTTTCGTTATCTCTAGAAAATCATTTTAATGCCATAAAAGAACTCAGACAGTCATCTAGAATAATCAACACAAATGTAAAAAAAATTCAAAACAGGGTGGACATCTGTCCCCTTTGCTATTCAATTGCTATGTCAATCATATATGTGTTAATGTAAAATATTGTAAGTTTTTATTATTCGCTGATAATTAAAGCTTTATTCAAGAATATCCTGTACTGATGATTGTTTAAATGTACAAGCGGATTTAAATGCTCTGAATAACTGGTGTGAAGTAAATTTTATGCAATTGAACATCTCTAAGTGCAAGGTTATGCGGTTCTCCTGTCTAAAACAGATAATTTTATTTCCATATATGATAAAACGAAAAAAAACTATATATGATATAAATAAAAAAATGATTTCCATATAAAGGATTTGGGTGTGTACTTTGATGCTAAGATTTCATTCAATTACCCCATTCAAATTACCAAAAATAGAGCCTTAAAAATGTTGGGATATGTTAAACGAACAACTAAAGACTTGAATGTATAAAAGAAGTGTTAAATGTATAAAAGTGGTGTATATGTCTTGTGTCAGGAGTATCTTGGAGTATGCCAATATTATGGTATGTATGGTATATAAAGTATGGTCATATATATATAGTATATATATCTAGTTATCATTTACATATAAATCAGATAGAAAGTATTCAAAATAAATTTCAAAGATACTGCGCCTACAAGGCATCTACACCTTTAGATGATTTGGTTTACCAACAATTACGACATTAATTAGAAATTCAAACGCTTGAACATAGAAGATTGGAAAGTGAAATGATATTTTTATTTAAATTAATTAACTACAATATAAATTGCCCTTATTTGCTCAGTAAATTGAATTTCCATGTTCTTAAGAGAACGGTCAGAAGTCAATCTATATTTTACTGGGCAACTCGTAACACCAATTACAGTCACTTTATGATTATCGACAGAGTATGCAGGACTGCTAACAATTTAGATTTGTTATTTTTTGATATTTTTTTGGCAGCATTTCAGTCCAAACTAAAGCTAAAGGTACCCATTTAATTTATTTATTGATGATTTATCTGTTATTGTTATTGTTAATGTTTATTGAATTTTAATATTTTTATACACATTGTATAATTCGCCATAGATTTTTTCCGTTTATTAAATTAGACTTTGAATAAAAGACAGCGATTTATAAAGTTTTTCGAACATAAATATTTTTAGAAAAAATGTTGGTCGCCGTATCAAAGTTAAAAAATCTATATATATAGGGAAATATTGCTGTTCAGGGTTGTAATTTCTGTTTCACTTTGTCCCTATTTAAAAAACACGTAATTTTGATTGTATAATGTTTGAAGCCAAATTGTTTTGTTCCAAGCCTTGAAAAAATCAGCAAACTTTTTTCTTACTCCTAGTAAAAGAAGTCAGTAGAGTTTAAAGTTAATTTAATTTTTAAATTAGGTATTTAATATTTTATTATTTTAACTTTCTTATTAGAGGACACATAACTATTACATCGTACATTTACGTTTGTAAAAATATTACATTAATAAAAAGTAACTTTAACAATCTGATGTTGCAAAGAACGGCATGTCAGATTTCGCAACAACCGATGGATTTTCACCCAAAACTAAAAAAAGAGTTTTAATATTTTATTTGCAACAGTTTTAATTGATTGTTAAAACCCAAAAATCAAATTCTTGAGAAAAGGTTTAGGAACAGTTTTATTTGGAATGTATGTAATTCTTTATTGCGTTGAATGTCAGAGATAAGGGACCAAGTCCATACATTTATTGCATGGAGAAAAAGGATTCACGTTTTGAAAAAATCTCCATTGCAAAAAAACAAATATTGCGAATTAAGTAATTTTGTTAATAAAGTGTTTTCTGGATGAGTCGGAATTGCGGCTACAATATAATTTTATTTGGAAAATTGCAATTTTTTGCAAATATTTTATATTTCTAGAAAATGGCCGCGAATGCGGTAAAGTAACATGGTGCACCGTGCACTCGATAAGATTTTTGTAATTTTATTATACTCTTAAATTGAGATTACATTTTTAAAAAGTTGTTAAGTTAACACTTGTCTCTTCAATCCAGAAAATTTGTTTACTTCATAATTAAATTAAATTGGTACAGACGTTGTCCCTAACTGATTCTAATTGGAGCCCATTTAACGCCTGACCCCACTTTGTATATTTTCAAGTAATCTAAACATGACCTCATGCAGATGTTCGCTTTGATTGATCAATCTAAAATTAACTTGCTTAATAACTTCCATATTAACGAACGTTATTTTAACTACGAAGGCTCCGGGGGCTTATAGTACAGTTTGGAACCAAAGCATCGTTCGTTCTATTTCTATCCAGAATGACTCAATGCTTTAGGTGACTGAACACACGCATAGGTTTCCAATTTTTAACGTGAAAGTGACGTCAAGCCCCGCCTCTTGGTAGCCGTTTGTGAGTAAGAAAATGTGTGCATTATTTTCGAAACTGTATCCAAAGTATGAACGCGATCATAAACCATACCGGCGGTGTTTGTGGTGCCTGTGTAGTGCTTGTGATAGTGTTTCAGTGCGTTTTGTGCGGTTTGTGTTAGTTTTAAGCAGTTGTTTGCAGCCGCATAAAACATGTTCAGTCGCAAGTAATATTAGCAACATTTTCATCAAGTTAGTATTCCTTGCTTAGACTGAACAGTGTTTTATGCGGCTTTATTTGAACAGATTAGACCCAATCCTATTATAAATAATTTTGTTAAAGTTCCAAGTGACCCATATTTTTCATAGATTTATTTACTAACCTAGCACAATACTTATTTGATAACTATTTTGTTGGAAACGGCGGAAATAAGGATTTTATTATAAAAGGTCAGACTGGTTGGCGAACGCTGATTTATTCGTATGTTTTGGAGTTACTCCAATACTTGATCAGTGGGAGCAGTTTTGGAAGTAATTTACTTTGTCTGTGACAGTAACACGTTTTGAAGTGAAGTTTTAACAATTTTTCCATGTAAATAAATTTGTTTTAGTTGTCAATGTTGATTTTTTTATTCAATGTCCTCATTCCTTTTAGTACTTTTAGGTTTTTTCGACAGCTTTCACCTGAGTTTTGCACACGTCCCATCGGCCAGAACCAAATATAGTGAGCAACATAATCTACACAAAGTTTAAAATAGTAAACTGTGCGCACGTCCCCAAAGTTATTTAGAGTTTTCCCTGTGATTATACTTCGGCAACGTTAAAATAACAGGAGAATAATTGTTGGCACGTTTCCAATTTGTATTCCAAAACTGCTCTAAGCGAAGCAAAGCTCAACATTTTGCATTTTTTTGAAAATGGCATAGGTAAATGATTAATAGCTTGTTTATCTGACCCAATTTGGCCAGGTTGAGCTGAATTTCTTGGCAGGTAATTTCAGTTTTGTCCCCTTTCACGTTGGCTTGCACTCAAAATCTTTTCTGTGCAAATAGATCAAAATTTCTAGATTATACTCAGCCAAATGCTCCTTTTAAATGTCATTTAGTTCTGTGTAATAATCGTATTAACTATCTGTTTACTTTATTTAGAAACTGTATTTGCTCTTGACTCAAAACCTGCCAGGTGAATCATTTCAGAAGCTACCTGTGATAATTGATGTTGGGATTTTCAAAACACTTCATTAGTCATTAGCAAGACATGACAAATTGCCATTAAAAAAACATGTTTTGAATCATTTAGTTTGGGTTATTAGTCATTCACTGGTCATTTGGCAAAAGCGTCTGCCAAAAAATTGCGCACGAGACCTAGTTTTTTAGTGTGTTTTAAGATATTTTGTGTTGGCATATATAATATGACTAATTGATGTCTGTTAGATGTAGAAATGTAGTTCAACTCAATTTACAAAAAAATGTCATCATGAGACAACTGAAACCTTGATGGTGATTCTAATATATTTAGGCATACACCAACATTACTTTTGAAAAGCCGTTTTTGCAAAATCCCGCAAAACGAGTGCTAAAAATTGCGTTCATTGAAACGCTTTTAATTTCGTTGAGCCCAAATAGTTTCGCTTCGAAATAAAGATTCCAATTAAAATTCTTTATCACCTTAAAATAAAAGCTTAAACGTTTTAAACTTTAAAGCTTTTCTGTGGATCGTATAACTGACGTTGGAGAATGCCCATTATATATTCAATTATTCAAAACTGACCGCGACTGAATTCGACTTTTTTAGCCTGAGTTTTCAATCATATGAACTTTCAAACAAACGTATTAAATAGATGAAACGTAATTTTTTCTTAGAAGCCCTTTGAGAAATTTGACTCTATTTCACGGCGCTGCTGTAAAACGGTTTGATTGAGAATTTCCTCAGCTGATTTTTATATTTAGATTATGTAAAACCATTGTATCAACTAAAAACTTCAAATATAAACCGTGATCTTCAATATTTAATGAAAATCTTTTTACGAAACCTGAATTAACTCCTACAAAGCTTCAAGCACTAAACATGCTACTTAATATTGAAATAATTGAGAAAAATTACATTTTCTCTAAATAAAGAAAAATAAATGCACGTTATTTTCAGCGGTAAAAGTTGTGCTGTTTCTATTTCCAGCTTATAAGAACTTCACAGGAGGCATTTATCGTATTCAATCGTTTCATTGCACGAAGCGTAACGGAATCTAAGTGTTGTGTCTGAAAGTCTGAACTAAAAACTCTATTCCAGATGCATTTATGTCTATTAAATTTTAAGCTGCCGACACGTGCGCGTCCAAAACCGTCGTAAATCTGCGTGCCATTTGACTCATCTAAAATATTTATAAGATCCGAATCTATTTTTGAAGATACTGGGAGTGTTTGCCTTGTGTGTGTCACTTGAAACGCAGGGTTTTTAACAATAGCGATTTATTAAACAAAATTATGCAATAATGAAATATACAGTTCTATGGCCTACAAATTAAACAAGGAATAAAGCCGTTCAGCATTTTGTTTAGTGCCAAAAGCTTTACTTCAATCCTATGTAAACTAAATCACTTGGAACCTTAACTCTAGCCGTAATGTCTTAACAAAGATATTCCACCACCAAAAACTTCAGTCCGTGAAAATAATTCTGGAAGGGCTGTTTTTCTTTTCAGTCCAGTGATTTTTGGAATTACTATGTTAAATCGAACAACATTAAAAGCTTCAAGTAATTATAAAGAAGCAACAAGGAAAAAACTAAATAACGTCTTGATAAATAAAGCACGAACTAAATAAAATATAATGAACCAAATAAAACTTCTAATTGACTATCTTTGTTGGGTGATTTTAAAATTTGATATGATATTGGTCCTTTAGTAAACGTTCTAGAGTCAGCTGGAGGTGAACTTCAATTTATCAAATATACAAAGCTGTCCTCCTTTTTGCTGTAAGACTGGAGGATGGAAAATAAAAGCAGCACCTCCAATAGGACAGTTTACAAAAACAAAACTAAAACACAGCTGATAACTTATTTCTTACTTTTGACGATAAGTTTGGCGGACTGTTCTACGGAGCCTGCTGATGAGGTGGCTCGGCATGCGAATACCCCAGAATCTTCTTCATAGGTGGTCGAGATGAGAAGGATGGCATTGCTACCTTCTTGGATCATCTGAAACAAGGAACGATTCTTATAATAGTGGCTTTTACGTTGAAGATAGTTTATACAAAAACCACACAGGTGAAACAGTGCTCAAATTAATTCTTCGATAGGTTGTTTTTAATTCAGTATAAACAAGAGTATATTTTCTATAAAAATCGATGTGAAATTAAAAATATTTTTTTTAGTGCAGCTCAATATTGCAAACGAGCAAACTGGCTGGAGATGCAGGTAATTGATTAATTACGTTCATGAAGCGTGATGAGCCCAAAAAACGCATAATTTAAAAGGAAACAATAACTGATGCACAAATATTATTTTAAGTAATCCGGGTAATCCGGGGCCTATTTTTCGAATAGCGTTATACATAAAGGATACATTTTCCTATTATTCATTCTCTGGTATGTAAAGATGATCCTTTTTCGAAAGCCAATGATAAACCGAATTGAAATCGCTGCATCCAATGTAATTCTAATATTATCCACAATCTAATCGATAATACCCCTAAACAAGAGATATTATCACTTTTGAAAATATTGTTGCAACATCCGAATGAAAGAGTTTGATTTTAGAAATGATGAATAGTTCAAAAGTTAAAAGATTTTTGGCAATCTTTTTAAGATCGTCAACATGTCAACGCATTTTTAAATTATTAAAAACGATGGCACAAATTATGCGTGTACGTTCGAGTTCCGTAAAGTACCATATTTTGAAAAACTTTATTCAACGATCTACAGTAAATGCCAAAAAATCCTTCTTTTGAGATAAAATGAGGTGTGAATTGAATTGAAATCCTTTGGCAATTGATCTTTGCAGGAGTTAAAATGTATTTTTAAAAACTGTTTATCTGTATCATCTCATTCCTGGAAACTTTTTGGAATAGAACTGTTCAGTCGAATTACTCACATGTGTTCAATTAAATGTATTTTTACGCTAATTGCATGTGGCAAGCAAACTTCTAAATTTTTGATGTTTGAAGTGCTGAAAATGTTTTTCAACTGAAGGTTTTAATTAAGTAAGATATTTCAAACCCAAAATATGAACGTTGAGTATTTGAAGTAGAAATTGATCAAATTTGAAAAAAATAAGCTCACCTGGAAGTCTGGTGATTCTGGTATAAGGAAGCCCTCTCTCAGCCATTGGATGGTAGGTTTAGGTTTCCCAGCGATGGAAGTCTTAAATTGAGCTGGACTACCCTCAGGCACGATCACGTCTTTCATTGGTGTTAAACTAGGAGCTAGCTCTTGAGTTTCAGGTGCAAGAACTCGTAATTTTGCTTGAGCTGTAACTGTTCCAGCCGGATTTTCGGCTACGCACTTGTAGACTCCTTCGTCCTCAGGAAATGCTTCGGAGATTCTCAATGTACAGTAGTCACCCTCTTTGCTCATCTGGAAATATCTGGATGGTTTGATCACTTTGTCGGCTTTGAGCCATTTTGCAGATGGTGTAGGTTTGCCGGTGATTTTGCACTTGAAAGCCACTGCTTGGCCTTCGCGGATGTTCTGGTCTTTAAGTGGTTCCACGATGGTTGGAGGTTTTTCTGTTCCAGGAGTGGTGGGCTTTGAAGGCTTTTGTGGGGCAGTAGGCGATAGTACTGTAAGGTCAGCTTCGCAGCGCGCTTCGCCTGATTGGTTCATTGCAACGCATTCATATTTGGCAGTGTCTTCGGGAACCAGTTCAATTATCAATAAAGTGTACAAGTCGTCTTCTTCCAAAGTCTTGTATCTGATATCGGAAGTGATCTTCTTTCCATTCTTCAGCCAGTAAACATCTATGGGTTTAGTGCCGTTGATTCTGGCATCAAAGCGTACAAGCTGACCGGCACTAGCCGATGTTGATTGGATGGTGGTGGCGAAATTTGGTGGAATTATTCCGCCTCTGCCTTGTCGCCGTCTTTCTTGAACCACTAAGTTGGCACTGCATTTGGCAGTCCCTCCGCGGTTCTCAGCAATAACGCTGAACACTCCAGAGTCTTCCATAAAGACTTGTCTCAGCACCAAAATGGACTTAGTGCTGAAGGTGTAAATCTTCAAGTCTGGCGAGCTTGTAATAGGGAAGTCTTCTCGGAACCAAGTTACTTTAGGTAGCGGATCTCCGTCGAATTCAACTTCGAATCTAGCAGAATCATTTTCAAATGCCCTGCAGGGTTGTATTTTCTTGGTAAACAGCGGTGGGTTGGTTGGTAGCACTTGTCCTTGCACCAGGAGCTCTTGAGTTTTAGCCTTGTGTTCCACATCAGTGGTTTCAGTGGCTGTGATGTTGCGAGTAATCTCCAAATCTCCTTGACGTTCTTTTTGAGTTTGCTTTTGCTTAGTAACGTAAACTTCTCGTCCATGTACTCCAGATTCTGTGGGCCCTGGAGGATACGCTCCTGACTTGGAGTCGATTTCGTATTCGATTTGCATTTCTTCTTTGGATTTATCGGTTTTCCTGAGGGAAACTTGGTCTTTGTGTGGCGTGATCTTTGCTGGTTCTGCCTTGGGTAGTCTGGGAATTGACTGAAGTTGGGGCCTTTCAGGTACTTGTTCCCTAGTCAAAAGAGTTGGTTTAAAACAACAGCTTTTTGTTATGCAGTGTTTATACTTACAAGTTGTCTTGATATTGTTGGGCCATTCCTCTGGCCAAGGAACTGCTTACAATTTTCTCCCCGGGAATGGTAATTTGATGGGAGGCTTCACGAAGTCGCACTTCTTTGCTAACTTGTTCATTTTCGAGTTGTTGAATTTTTGTGTAATACTCTTCTCCCTTCTTCGACTTGATATGCTTTTGCCATTCAGTTTCGGGTTCAGAGTATTCTTTCGATTGGACATGAACTCCTGAGACGTTCAATCCAGATTCTCGGAGCGTACTGTTGCGTTCGTCGAATACTTTCTCTAATTCAGTTTCTTGACGCTCTTTTTGATATTGAGATAGTTCTAGGTCATACCAAGCTACAGGTAAATAGTAAAGTGTTATTAAATTACTCGTGGTGTTGTGCGATTAACATGTAACATGACACACAAATAGCAAGCTGAGTAGGTACAATGCAAAATAGCTCTTCTAGAAAATTTAATGAGAGACATTTTGTCCGCTTTTCAGAAAGTTTCTTATAGGTTTCACTGCAAGTAAAGCTGACAAGCATGCGAAACTACACGAACATTTACGACATAAAATAGCATACCTGATTCAAACTTCCTTTTGTGCAGAAAGCATAAAAACATCCGCAGATGATGCCTCGAAGCAGATAGAAAGATAGGATTGAGGACGGGAGGAAGAAGAAAAATGAAAACATTTGGGAATCAAGTTTCTAGAAGAGGGTTTCTGATATCTAGTGATCGGTATGTGGAGGTTGTCTAAATGTTCAAATGAAACGAGTTCTCAATTTGAGGCAAATTTGAGGAACATGTGGGAGTTGACGAGTATTAGAGCGATTTTTAGGTATACAACATGTGCTTGGCTTGCAAATTAATGGTCAAATAGTGCATCGTGTAAAGAATGTTTAGTATTTTCAGTCATGTAAAAAATGCAAGTAATGATTTATACAAACATTTACATCAACGCATATCTGAACGATCTTCTGTGTAAATCATTACCCAAAATATGTTTGTGCTAAAGTCTTGTTTGGTAAACTTACGCCTAGGCGAGTTCTTAAGCACGCCTCTGTAATCGTCTTGTCTTGGTATGATTTTCAGTTCTGTTTCCGCAATGGCTTCGCCCACAGAACTTCGGGCAATAACTTCGATCTTTCCAGTGTCGTACTGCCGGGTTTTTGGGATGTCCATATGGTACATACCATCATATGTTAATTTGTAACGGGATCCGTTTACTACAGTGTGTCCGTTGATAAGCCACATTACCTGAAAAAAAAATTAAAATATTATAGATTTATGTTAAAGTTCGATCTTGATTTATGTTAAAAATCGCTAAGAGGATCTTGTAGTTATAAAGTCGGAAGTAGTTTGTACTACAACCAGCAAGTCGTAGAAGTAATCAGTCAATGAATTTTAGATTCAGCGGACAGTTTATTATAAAACAGCTCGATCTTCAAATTTTATAGTTTTAAATGTGATGTGATCCAAAAATAAATTACGAGCATCAACTTCAATCTTCAAATGGAAGAATCTGCTTCTTTTTTCTTTTTTCAATTCTCCAATAAAGTTTAAAAGTGATTCCTATGCTTAAGCTCAACAGGACTCGGGGAATTTACAAGAAGAAAAACATATTTTCGAAAATGATGATGGAGTGGGCGAAACGAGAAGAAATCGAAAATATCTGCTTTGTTGAATTTCGTAACAGAACACGTCGGCAAATAGGATAGAAGCTAAATTCAGAAAATTTTGTAATAAATAGATTTGCGTCTGGACGTTTTGATCGAGATGAAAGTGAAAAACTTGTCGTTTTACTTTCATTGGAAAAAAATCCGTGTATCCCTCATTTGCAGATTGGGGCCAATTTACGCATATTCAAGTCTGTGGTTTGCCGAATAGGTCGAAAGCACAGACTGTTAGACTTGTGAATTAGTCTAACATTAGACTTATGATTAGACATGTGAATTGATAGAATTATCGATATTGGGCAACATAAAGTCCGCACTGAATGATGGAGGATCGCAGCCAGTACCCCCACAAAATAAATGTGTAATGTGGAATAGTGCGCGGGGTAGTAATAGAAATTTTTTTCTTTGGACAGGGACGAACTGGACAAGTATATCTAGAATTTCAAGAAAATTCAAAAAAATTCAAGAAAATTCTAGAATTTTATGAAAATGTAGACAATAATTCAGACAAACTCAAGCTTTTCAAGAAGGCAAAGACCTAAARGGACGTTAATTTTTACCAATCATGAGTTTGTGTAAAATTTTAAATCTGATGATGGCGCTGTTGTCTCGCCGAAACGTAATGAAATAAACGATGTTTCAAAAATTTTCACTTCACACTTTGACTGAAACCCAGGAAAGATAGGAATATCATATCTAGAATTTCTCCAACTTGAATTAATTCTAGCATTTGAATTTTATGTTTCCAAATCTACTAGCGCCAAACACTCCTGACCAAGAACTGATTTTCCAGCAAAATGGTGCTTCTCGACGCTGTGCTGCAATTGTGTGAATTTTTGAATGACAATTTTCCGATTCGGTTGATAGGAAAGAGAGACCTATGAATGTCCTCTTAGATCACCAAACCTAACTCAGATAGAAACAATCTGCAGGAGTTGAAAGACAAGATCCGAAAAGAAGTGCCTGCCATACCTCCACAGATGTGTGTTATAAAATTTAAGTTTATTGTTGTTCGGTTTCTTGAAATAAATGGGTCGATTTCAGGGAAGCAGACATTTTGAAGAAATCGTCGCTATTAATTATGGATAGCTTCCATCCTAAATTTCTCGATAACCATTGAAGTTAATTTATGAGCATATGTTACCTGAATCATACGAGTACTTAGAATTSATTTGAAATAAAAGGCAGATGCTACCATTTGAGAAAAATTRGSTGWTGGTCGTAGGTTGTTTTTAGATCACCTTACATAAATAAATTTGATATAAAAWWTWTTTTATTTGCAAATATAAATTGAACAGGTGTGAGCTTTTTCCGATTAAGCGAGCTTAACGATTATAATTTGAAATTTCACATACCCTTGGTTTTGGATGTCCAGTAACTCTACAGCAGAATCTCGCCCATTCGCCTTCCTCCACTATAACTGGCTCAGGTTTGCTGATAAATACTGGAGCCGATCTCGGTTTCGCTTCTTCTTCAGCGATTTCAGGAGTACTAAAAAATAATTCGTGAATGTCTGCAGTTAGTGCCTTTTAACATACTTCATATAATTTAATATAATGCACTTACACCAGCCAAGAAGCTTCCATTTCTCTGATCTTTTCAATACTCTTCATTCCTTTGGGAAGCTGCGATTCGTAGATAATTCCTGGCTTTCCAGCTACTTGAATTACCGCCCTCGTTTCATCCATGCCGTACAAATTGGTAGCCCTACATAGGTACTCGCCGCTATCTTCCGGGTATACCCAGCCGAAGTTCATAGCCACATACCCAAAGTCGTAGATAGGAGTGAACCTATTTTCTAAAATGGAAGGTCTCATTTAGCATAATCTACAAAAAAATAGCGGAGTAACCTACTATGGGGTAAAGGTTTCCCGTTGAGGAACCATTCCACTTTCATGTTGGGATCGCCAACAGGTGCCAATTGACATTCAAATTTGGTGGTCTGCCGCTCTACCAGATCAGTTTGTTCTAAGATTTGAGTAACAAAACGCGGAGGCTGTTTCTTTTCAACGTCGAATAGGTCATCTTCAGTCAGATATACTTCGGAGGTGTATTTCTTGATTGCAGCCTCCATCTGCATTAAGGCCTCTGATTTCTTCATGCCCTTTGGAACTTGGTTCTGCAGAATAATGTTCGGTAGTTTCTTGCATGTGATATGTGCTTTGGTAAAGTCTTCTCCGTGATCGTTAACCGCTCGGCATACATATTCGCCAGAATCCTCTGAATAGACATCGAGAATATCGAGAGAAACAAAACCTAAATCGTATACTGTTCGATAGCGATGTCCAGCAGGTAAAAGCTTTCCATTTCTGTACCACTCAACTCTCAACTTGGGATCGTCTTTAGGCTCCACCCGGCACTCGAAGCGTACTGATTCGGATTCTTCAACAGTAACAGATTGAATATGAGTGATGAATTTTGGTGGGCCGTACACTTTATCTGCTTGGGGTGCAACGGAAACTGGACCTTTTTCGAGTTCTTTCAATTTATCTGCAGTCATGCCTGCTGGCAGCTGGCTTTCAAAATCAATTGTTCTCTTCGATTTTGAAGTAACTCTGGCCTTAGTAATGGCATAGCCCCATTTGTTTGTGGCTTTGCAAATATATTCTCCAGCATCTCTTGTATAGGTGTAATCGATGTCCAGAGAAATAAAACCGAAGTCATTTATTTGGTGTACACGTGAGCCAGTGGCAAAAGGCTTGCCATTGAAGAACCATTCAATTCTCATTGAAGAGTCATTCTTTGGCTCTACTCTGCAGTCGAAATGTACAGGACTGCCTTCAGGGACATCAATGTTATCCTTGATCTCCACGATGAATCTTGGTGGGTTAGGCTGTTCTTCTTCCGCCAAAATTTCTTCCTTTTTGTACAGTTCTTCTTCCAATTTTTGGATACTTTGGGTGCCTGAACGGAAGTTGGAAGGCAGCTGAGGCTCAAGAATAATTCCTTGTCTACCCTTCACTTGCAAAGTGCAGCTTACAGTTGCTTCTCCGTGCTTGTTGGTGGCCTTGCATGTGTACAGTCCAGAGTCCCGCTGATATATTCCAGCTACTTCCAAAATAACAAAACCGAAGTCGTTAATAGTCTTAATTCTGGAACCGGCCCATAATGCTTTGCCGTTATGGAACCATTCGACTGTCATGCTTGGATCGTTGATTGGAGTCAACCTGCATTCAAAGTGAGCCAACGAGTTCTCACCCAAGATCAAATCAGATGGTGTGGTAATAAACTCTGGTGGTTTTCCAGTGTCATCTTCAGGTGTTGCTTGGGAGGGTGCCAAACCCAAACCTTCAAGTTCGGCTATTTTATCAATAGTGCCTTCCATTCCCTTTGGCAGTTGCGACTCCAAAATAATGCTGCGTTTTCCAGATACTTTCATTGACGCAGTTGTAACAGCTTCGCCATATTCATTTGTGGCTCTGCAAGAGTATTCGCCAGAGTCTTCTGGATATACTGGGGAAATTTCCAGGATGACAAAGCCAAAGTCGCAGAAGGTGCGGAATCTGGATCCAGTCCTAAGAGGTTTGCCGTTCCAGAACCATTCTACTTTGAGCTTAGGGTCGTCAGTTGGGATGAGTCTGGCTTCAAAGTGGACATTTTCACCTTCGCGTAAACTGTCAACGTTTGATAACGGGACAGTGAATACTGGAGCTCGTCCTTTGGTAACTTCTTCTTTTTCATCTCGTGTACGGATTAGAGAATCCTCCAACGTTTGGATCTTTTCCAATCCACCTTCCATGCCCTGAAACAACAAGGGAAAAACTTAGAGCACATTACATTTTCAATGTCTTCCTCAACTTACCCGCGGTAGTTGCGAGTCCAGGATCAGGTTCGTCTTGGATGTGCATTTCAGCGTTGCTTTAGTTACGTCTTGACCATATTTGTTGTAAGCGCGGCATTCATAGACTCCAGAGTTCTCTTCATAGCAGTAGAGAATGTCGAGAATGACGATTCCGAAATCATGGAAGGTTCGGTATCTGTGCCCATGGGGTAGTTTCTTGCCGTTGTAATACCACTCAACAACTAAGTCTGGATCAGTAACTGGTGTGAGGCGTGCTTCGAAGTGGGCACTTTGTCCTTCAGCAAGCTTGGTGATATCTTGAATTTGGGTAATGAATTTAGGTGGTTCAGTGACTGGCGATGTTGGTGCTTGGGCTTGTTGTCCCTGGAAGCTTTCCAGCTCTCTGATTTTAGCCAGAGAGTCCGGTTGCAAACTATCCGAAAATACTCCTCCTTTGCCATGAGCGGAAATTGTTGCCCGCGTAAAGTCTTCGCCGTATTTATTGTAAGCTCTGCACACGTATTCTCCAGAATCTTGATCTTGTATGTACGAAATGTCCATAACCACGAACCCAAAGTCGGACACAGTCTTGATACGCGATGAATGCAATATGGGTTGTCCATTATGGTACCATTCAACCTTAAGTTGAGGATCGTTAATTGGGATCAGAGTGCACTCAAAGTGTGCAGATTGGCCATCTTTAAGTCCGACAATATCCTGAATATGGGTAGTAAATTTGGGTTTCTGGCCAGCTTCCCTTTCAACGCATTCAAGTGTCACGCTTTGTTCAGCCATACCCCATTTGTTCGTAGCTCTGCAGGTAAAAGTACCGCTATCTTCGGTCTTAACTCCCAAAACTTCCAGAACAACCATTCCGAAAGCATGTACAGTTCTGAACCTATGTGAGGCTTCAATGGTTTTCTCATTGTAGAACCATTCGACTACCATAGTCTGGTCACCAATTGGTGTTAAGCCTGCTTCAAAGTGAGCAATTTCTCCTTCTCCTAGGTTGGTCAGGTTGGTAAACTCAGAAGTGAATACTGGGGCATGGCCTTCTTCGCCTTCAAGGAACGGCATTTCGGGCCTGTTCAGCGAGTCCTCAAGATTTTGGATCTTCTCCAAACCTTCTTGTCCTTTAGGATGTTGGGTGCGCTCAATAAGATTGGCTTTCGTTGTGCAATAAATTGTAGTTGACGTAAAGGCTTCACCAGCTTTGTTCGAAGCCTTGGCAGTGTAAACACCTTGATCTCTTTCATACACATCAGTCAGGTCTAGAGTGACGAATCCAAAGTCGCTGGTGAGTTTGAATCTTGAGGCGTGATCTAGCGATTTGCCATTGAAGAACCATTCGATCTTCAGATTTGGATCTTCCTTCGGCTCAACTGATCCTTCCAGATGTAACGGTTTTCCTTCGAGTACTGTAAATTCGGGATTGAGAGGCACGGTCCATACCGGTTTGGGAAACTCTTTGTCAGCTGCAAAGCCTGGATGTTTAGCTTTAGCTGCGAATGCTTGATCGACTTCGTCGATTGCCTCCAAACCTGCCTGTCCCTGTGGATGTTGCGTATCGTAATAAATACTCTTCTTTCCAGTGCAGCGAAGTGTTCCAGAGGTGGTTGCAGAACCCTTGCTGTTGCTGGCCTTACAAGTGTATACACCAGAATCTTCTTCATACGAGTGGGTAATATCTAAAGCAATAAATCCAAAATCGTACGTAGATTTATATTTCGCTCCAGTTGGAAGAGGTTTGTTGTTGACAAACCATTCAATTTTCATAGTTGGGTCTTTGGATGGCTCAACATTGCATTCAAAGTGCACGCTATCGCCTTCGAAACATTCTACGTTGTTAAGATGGGATATAAACATAGGCAGTTCGTAAGTGGGCTCGGGAAGTCCTGGGCGAGGTGCTTGTGGCCGCTCCAGTTCTTCAATTTTCGGGATGGCATCTGGATGCAAGCTATGTCCCAAAAGCCAATCTTTATCTTCAATTTTCAACGAGCAAGTTGATATGGCTTCGCCAAGCTTGTTGGTTGCTTTGCATGTGTAAATTGCTGAATCATCTCCTCGCAATCCATTGATTGAGAGTGTTACCAGGCCAAAATCAAATGTGCTGCGCAACCTCGTACCAGTGGAAAGTGAGACTCCATTCTTGAACCATTCAATTCTGAGGTTTGGATCTGTTCTGGGCTCAACTTGGGCTTCCAGGTAGACATGTTGTCCTTCTACCAGTTTGTCATAGCTCTTTAAGTGAGTGGTAAACACTGGAGGTTGCTGAGGAGTGGTATCAACGAACATCTCTGGCACTTTGTTCATTTCAGCTTCCTTCAGGCGGATTTGTTCCCATGCTTCTGGATGCAGTGGCTCTCCAATGATATTGGAGCGCGATTTTACCTTCATTGAAATAGATGACACTGCTTCGCCAGATTTGTTAATAGCTTTGCAAGTGTAAACGCCAGAGTCATTAGGCACAGTGGACAAGATGTCTAAAGTCACAAATCCAAAGTCATGGGTTACTTTGAATCTTGATCCAAGTTTAAGTTCTACCCCATTGACGTACCATTCGAACCTCAAACTAGCGTCTCCAACAGGAACAACTCTAGCTTCGAAGTGGGCATGTTGGCCTTCCCAAAGTTCTGTAGGACCAGTAAGCAATTGGGTGAAAATAGGCTTTTCGAATATTCTTTCGGGAGCTTCTGGTCTAGGAGCTAGTGGTTGCTCTAATTGAGCAATTTTGCGTTGAGCTTCTGGATGTTGGGTATCTAATTGGATATTGGCTTCGGCTGTAAAGAAATATTCAATTACTAAATACAGTTTTGCCTTTAATAGGAATTTGATGTCCAACAAATGAATATGAAATCCAAATTTTTCGGAGACTCTGAATTTAGACCAATGGTTTCTTGGTAATTGTTTACTTTAGGTGGCATAGTGGAATGGAAAACGAGATGAAACACTGCTGATATTAAAGTTAATTGATATTAAAACTTACTTCTAATTTTCATAGATGCAGTTGTAACGGCTTCCCCAAGAGGATTCGAAGCTCTGCAGAGGTAAATGCCTTCATCCTCCGCCCTCACATGTTGTATATCCAAAGACACATAGCCAAAGTCATGCAGCTTGCTAATTCTGGAGCTGTCCTCCAAAGGTTTTTCATTTCTGAACCATTCCACCTTCAAAGTTGGGTCTCCGACTGGGATCAGCCGGCCCTCAAAGTGGGCCTTTTGACCTTCGCGGATGAAATCAATGTTCTGTAGCGGTTGAGTGAAAACTGGTCTTTGTCTTGTAACCTGGTCCTCCACTTCTGGACGACGGTATGGCTCGTGAGCCTCCAGCTGTCTGATCTTGTCCAGACCTTCCGGTCGTTGAGATTCAGTTATTATGTTGTCTCTGGAAATGACGCGAAGGTTGATTGAAGATACGCATTGGCCTAGATTATTTATGGCCTTAACGGAGTATTCGCCGGCGTCTTCTGGTACAGCATGAGTAATGTCCAGAGCGATGTATCCAAAATCGAAGGTAATGTGGAATCTGTTTCCATGGGGCAAGGGCTTGCCATTGTGGTAGAATTCAATCCTCAAGCTGGAGTCATGAATAGGCTCAACTTGGGCCTCAAAGTGAGCGGTTTGGCCTTCATAAATTTCAGTTGTACCACGAAGTTCAGTAATGAATCTAGGAGCAGTTGGAACGGGTTCTTCCACTTCCAGTCTGGTAGGATGGCCTTGGGCCTCCAATTCTCTGATCTTTTGCAGACCTTCGGGGTGCTGAGTATCAAGCAAGATGCCTCGTCCACCTCCTACTTTAATGGTGCAAGTATTAACAGCTTCACCAACTAGATTAGTGGCTTTGCACATGTAAGTGCCGCTGTCTTCAGCATAGGCATATAAAATGTCTAGAGCAACATAGCCAAAGTCATGGGTAGTTCTGAACCTGTGTCCAGTTTTCAGTTTAACTCCATTGACGAACCATTCGATCTTAAGGTTGGCGTCATTGATTGGCTCGACGCGTGTCTCCAAGTGAGCGTGTTGACCTTCTTGCAAGTTATCCAAGCTAATGAGTGGGGTCAAGAATACCGGTTTTTGTGGCAATGGCTCTACTTCTTCCCTCTTGGGTCTTTCGTATGTCTCAAGTTCTTTGAGCTTCTTCAGCCTCTGCTCATCCATAGTTTCCAAGTAGAGGTTTTTGCTCTTTACTACTGAAACTGCAGCAGTTGTCACTGCTTCACCGACAGCATTTCTTGCTCTGCACATGTAGGTTCCGGAGTCTTCAGCGTAAGCATACAAAATATCCAAAGCAACAAATCCAAAGTCGTAAGTCGTTTTGAACCGATGGCCGGTCTGGATCGGTCTTCCGTTGCAGAACCATTCAACTCTCATTGTAGGATCATTTACCGGCGTGAGGGTTGCTTCCAAATGGGCACTTTGACCTTCTGGTAGGTTTTCGATTGTTTTCAGGCCTCTTCCAAATTGTGGTTTTTCAAGAATGACAGCCTCATCGCGAGTTACTTTTCTGTACTTTGATTCATCTTCTAGGTAGTGGATCTTTTCTAAAGCACCTTCATGCTGGGTGTCGCGAATGATTGAGGCTTTGGCTATAAGGGAATCAAATGGGTTAAAATTTTACATCAGTGAATAGAAATGATGTTGATATCCGAATGGAACCACTCAGATATATTTTTGGTTGAATTGACAAATTGAATGTAAAAAATACCACAGGCACTCAATTACTTTGTTTGGAAGATATTTGGAAAATAAATCGGTTGGTTGTAAATTCCGAAAATTTCCGACTCGGGTGCGGATTTCTTCGGATTCAGAATATTTAGTAATAAACGTAAATAAATTAATAAGAAAATATAAAGTTACCAAACGCAAAATTGCAACAAAGTTATTATTTTGACTCTCACTGCAGATAAAAATGATTGAAGATACAAAAACCTAGTCAAATATATGCTCAAATTGTATATACGCCATGACAACCACGAAATATAATACAAATAATGGAATAGAAATGATGTTGATATCCGAATGGAACCACTTAGATATATTTTTGGTTGAATTGACAAATTGAATGTAGAAAATACCACAAGCACTCCATTACTTTGTTTGGAAGATATTTGGAAAATAAATGGGTTGGTTGTAAATTCCGAAAATATCCGACTCGTGTGCGGATTTCTTCGGAATTAGAATATTTAGTAATGAACGTAAATAAATTAATAAGAAAATATGAAGTGACCAAACGCAAAATTGCAACAAACTTACTTATTTTGACTCTCACTGCAGATGAAAATGATTCAAGATACAAAAGCCTAGTCAAATACATGCTCAAATTGTATATACGCATTGAAAACCACGAAATAAAATACAAATAATGGACTAATAATGAATATGTATGACTAAAGAAGTATTTTGTGTATCCCAGAACTGGAATTCTTCAAATATTACTTACATCTGACTGAAGTTTGTACAGATGACTGAGCTTGTCCAATTAAATTGGTAGCTTTGCATGTGTATGTACCAGAGTCTTCGGCGTAGGCGGTGAGAATGTCAAGACTTGCAAAGCCAAAGTCATAGGCGTTTCTGAACCTGTGTCCAGTAGCTAAGGGTTTACCATTGTGGAACCACTCAACTTTAAGATTGGAGTCTGGATAGGGTTCAATGCGGCACTCGTAGTGTGCGCTTTGACCCTCAATGATTTCAGTAGGGCCGTTAAGTTGGGTAGAGAAGAATGGGGCTTGGGTAACTTGAACTTCTTGTTCTTCGCGGCGTTGATAGCGGCTTGAATCCTCAAGCTGGCGAAGTTTTTGTAGGGCACCTTCATGCTGGGATTCCAACTGCAGAGAAGCTTTGGCTGAAAATCAAGGAATTTATGAAGTTTTATATCCACAATTGCTTCAAGCTTTTGCGTACATTTCACATCAAGTACTGCTGATGTAATAGCTTCTCCCAGATCATTAACGGCACGGCAGGTATAAGTTCCAGAATCTTCTGGATTTACATATTTCATATTGAGGGCTACGTAGCCGAAGTCGTGCATGGTTGTTATACGGTTGGCTGAAACGTGATGCAATTAAATTAATCTTCAATTCGCCATAAATATTTGCGTACACTTACACGCTTGAATTGCCACACCATTCCTCAACCATTCAACTTTTAGTCTGGAATCTCCAACTGGAATTAGCCTTGCCTCAAAGTGGGCCGCTTGATTTTCGGCTGTTCGCAGATCTTTGAGTGGCACAGTGAATACTGGCGCTTGGCTAATGGTTTCCTCATGAACCTCTTTGCGTTGGTAACGGGAAGAATCTTCAAGCTCAGTGAGGCGTTGTAAAGCGCCTTCATGTACTGATTCCAGATAAAGCGATTTCTTCGATTGCACATTACAAATTGCTGATGTAACAGCTTCGCCCAAAGCGTTGGTAGCTCTGCAGGTGTACGTTCCAGCATCTTCTGGATAAGTGTAAAGAATGTCGAGTGCAACAAATCCGAAGCTGTTCGTTTCGGTGAATCTGGAGCCAGATTTAAGTGGTTGTCCATTGTGGAACCACTCAACCTTCATTGTTGCATCAGATACAGGAATCAAGCGACATTCGAAGTGGGCTCTTTGGCCTTCTTTGATGTCAATGTTCTTCAAAGATGTTGTGAACATTGGAGCTTGAGTGGTGATTTCCTCCACATCTTCCCGTCTTTGGTATCGAGATCTGTCCTCGAGATGTTGAATTTGCTGCAAGCCTGTTTCATTCACAGTGCTCGTAATAATTTGGCCGGATTGTCTACATCTCAGAGAGCAGTTTGTTTCATCTGAGCCAATCAAATTAGTGGCTCGGCAGGTGTAGGTTCCAGAATCTTCAGCGATCAGGTCGATAATGTCTAAAGCCACATAGCCGAAGTCGTGAATTGGACGGAATCGATGTCCAACGGTCACAGGTCTGCCGTTTTTGAACCACTCAACTTTGAGGTTCGTGTCGGTTACAGGCTCGATTTTGCATTCAAAGTGGGCATGCTGGCCTTCATTCATGTTTTCAAGACTTTTTGGTTTTGTCACAAATCTGGGTTTGACTGTCACTTGTTCATCGACGAATTCAGTACGCTTGTAACGCGATGAATCCTCCAGGTGTTGGATCTTTTCCAATCCGGCTGGATGTTGACTATCGAAAAGCAAGTCTTTTTTGGCAATTACTTTAACACTGCAGGAAGTCACGGCTTCGCCTAGTTGGTTCCTGGCCTGGCACGTGTATATGCCAGAGTCAACCGGGTAGACGCTGAGTAAGTCCAGGGCTACATAGTCAAAATCATAGGCAGGTCTGAAACGGTGGCCAGTTTTCACTGGGAACCCGTTACAGAACCATTCGACTCTCATGGATGAATCGCCCACGGGTTGCAGACGGCATTCCATGTGAATGTTTGTTCCTTCCACTGTTTCAATGTTGTGCAAAGGTCTAGTAAATTGGGGGGCCTGAAGCACTGTTACATCCTCTTGAACGTGTTTTCGGTAGCGTGATGCATCTTCTAGCATCTGGATTTGTTCCAACGATTGCTCATGTTGAGTGTCAGTAATGATGTCTGAGCTGGCTATTACTCTTACACATGCTGAAGTGTGTGCTGATCCCAAGTGGTTCACAGCGCGAACTGTGTATTCACCTGAATCCTGAGCTGTGGTTTGGAGAATGTCCAATGCGACAAAGCCAAAGTCATTATAAGTTCTCAATCTGGAACCGACTATAACAGGCCGACCATTGCAGAACCATTCCACTCTCATGGTGGGATCTCCCATTGGTTCCAACCTGCACTCAAGGTGAATATTGCGGCCTTCTTGGCAGGGTTGAGGATCTGAAAGCGGCACGACAAAAATGGGCTTCGATTTTGAGATTTCTTCAATCTGATACTGGGGCTCAACGAATTTCGACTGTTCTAGATGTTGAGTTTTGTCATAGGCTCCTTTGTGCATGCTTCTAGTGTCGATGCTAGCACGAGCTGAAAGAGAGCAATTTTCTAGATTCAAGGCTGTATTTTAAAAATAGTTTACTTACTTTCAACCACCATACTAGCAGAGACTTGAGCTTCACCTAAAGCATTTCTAGCAACAACAGTATAAGTGCCAGCATCTTCCTCTCTGACACTGAGGATATCAAGGGCGACATACCCAAAATCGTGGTATGTTTGGATTCGGTTTGCAGGTTGAATGGGTTTTCCATTAAAATACCATTCAATCCTCAAAGTCATGTCACTTTGAGGCTCAACGCGAGCTTCGAAATGAGCGCGTTGTCCTTCAACGATTTTATTAGTTCCTTTAAGTGGTCCCAAAAACCGCGGTTTTTGTGTAACTTGTACTTCTTCTTGTTCTTTTCTTGAATAGCGACTGGAATCCTCTAAGTGTTGGATCTTCTCCAGACCGCCAGGATGTTGAGAATCGAAGATAATGTCTTTCTTGCTCACGACGCTCAATTGAGCGGTTGTAGTAGCTTGTCCAAGAGCGTTATAAGCGCGACAAGTGTAATGTCCAACATCGTGGATAGTTACGTCTTTAATTGTAAGGGCAACATAGCCAAAGTTGAAGAAACTGGTGGTTCTCGAACTGGCTTCGACTGGACTACCGTCTTTTAGCCATTCCACTCTCATTGTTGCATCACCAACTGGTTCCAAGCGGGCTTCAAAGTGTGCATAGCCACCCTCGCGAATTCCCAGTTGGTCTTTAATGGGAGTTTTGAATTCTGGAGGTGCCAAGCTTTCGGGCGTTTCAACGACATATTTTTGTTGATCCTGTTGTCTCCAGGCTTCAAGTTCTTGGACCTAAACGAAAAATTTAATCAGCTTTCTGCAGTTCAGTTAGTTGCGAAGTCTGAGTCAAACCTTTTCGATGTAGCGTTGCTGTTCAGGTATTCCAAGGTCTCCAGTAACAGTCGATTTACTGAATACTTGAACCGTTGCGGTGCTAATAGCTTCTCCTAAGTGGTTAACAGCACGCACAGTGTAGGATCCTGCATCTTCGGCACGTAGGTGCATAATATTGAGAGACACGTAACCGAAGTTGAAGATGGTGGTGATCCTGGAACTGGCGGTAATTGGTCGACCATCTTTGTACCACTCCACCTGGAATTACAGAAGAATCCGATTATTCGTATGGTTGATGGTCGCTTGGTGAGTGAACTCACTTTCATTGTGGGGTCGCTGACGGGGGTCAATTGGGCCTCAAAGTGGGCATTTCTACCTTCCTGAAGCTCCCCTAGATCTTGAAGTGGGCGGATAAAGTGAGGTTTTTGGTTCGTAGTTTCTTCCAAGCTTTCTTGTCGTTGATATCTGGAACCGTTTTCATTATAAGCACTGAGTGGTATATAAAAATGCGCGCTAGCTACCTGGAATAATCCTCCAGTTGCTGAATATGTTGCAAACTATCCGGATGTTGGCTACTTTTTTCAATCGATTCTCTACGTCTGATTTGCAGAATAGCTCGCGACTCTGCTTGTCCTGTAGAACTAGTGACGCGGCATACATATTCGCCAGCGTCCTCTTCGATCAAAGAGATGAGATCAAGGGCAATGAAGCCAAAGCGGAAAATTGAGGTAGCCCTAGAACCTGTAGAAATTCCATGTATAAATAAGTTCAGTAAGGTTCGGGGTCCACTTACTAGCTGCCATAAGTCTTCCATTTAAGAACCATTCGACGATCATAGTTGGATCACCGACTGGTTCTATCCTAGCCTCGAAGTGCACTTTTCCACCTTCAAATTGAATGGAGTCTTGCAGTGGAATAATGAAGCGTGGAGGGGGATAAATGCGATCCTCATCTCCAGGAGGTGCATGTGGGCGAGCTCTCTCCACATGACGAAGGTAAATTATCTCCGGGCCAGGTTCGGGTCTGTAACCAATCAATTAACTGAGTTTCTGGTAATGCATAACAAGGTCCATGTGTGCATATTGCTTCAATATCGACGTCGTTCCTCCACAAGGAGAACATATAATACAGTTTCTTTAAAGTATTTTCTATTATATTTTTTTTACAAGAACTCATCCTGAATTGGGCCACAGCTTCACTTCTAGATCTGAATAAAAGATTGTTATTAATTTTTAAGATGGAGCTTTTTCGGTAGGTGCGTGTTTTATTAGATGCAACTTTGCGAAATCGTTGGTTGTCCATGGGAGCGTTATTGCTAGGCCATCCAGAAGGCCGGACATCAATCCTCGGGATTTTTAAATTTGGTTTCAAATAAAAGATATACTTCAAAATGATCCTATTAGTTCACGTGAAGAACTGTGGTAAAGATTAGAAGTCACTGCGAACAAAATCAGAGCCAATCCCAATAGGTTGCTCCAAAGTTGAAGGCCTCTCACAAAGCGTTGTGGAAAGTGTCGCAGCGTCAATAGTACTTACTTTGAACAATTATTAAAATAGGAGTTGCTACATTTTTCGTTTTTAAAAACCTAGCGTTCGTTCAATCTAGCTGTTTCGAAAATGGGCCGAAATATCGAGATGAAACAAGAACAGTGTATTTCCGAATATATCAACTTTTCCAACAATGGCCACCAGTTCAGTATATCCAGGTTCCTAATTTCCCATTCTTAATTAATCACCCTGTATTTATCTAGTTTACTCACTCAGGTTCGATGACTTTCGTCGGTCTTGGTAGATGCAGGCGTCTTGGTTCAGGCGTCGGTCCTTGTGGAGTTTGGACGAAGAGACGAGCTCTCGTGGCAGTGGATCCAGCTACATTTTGAGCAGTGCATTGGTACCAACCAGCGTCGGGTGCCTTTGCTCTAAACGCCCCAAATGCACCAATAAATTTCTGGTTATTTGCGCTTTATACGAAATTTTACCTGGGTATATCTAAAGTGGTAGCGCCTCCATCGATGGCAACACGCACATCTGGACTATCGTAAAGTGGCACTCCATCTTTCTGCCATGAGATTCTAGGTGTTGGTGTTCCAACGGCTCTTGCATTTAGAAGGACCGGCTCGCCTTCGCGAACATTAACGGTGGTGAATCTTAAAAAGTGAGTTGGTTATGAGAACTGAAGTAATTTGCTTCGTCGCTGTGATTGCATACCTTTCGACAAATTTGGGCGCGACTACTTGCTCTTTTTCTATAACATTCAAATTGCACTGGAACGAAGTTTCCCCGGTTTTATTTTTGGCAACACAGGTAACTACTCCTGAGTCGTTCCTGCTTACGGTAGTGATCATCAGCGCATGGTTACCAGATTCGTTGACCAGGATTTTATGGTTGTGGTCATCTACCACTTGCTTTCCGTTAATAAACCATGCTACTTCTGGATAAGGACGACCGGTGACTCTGCAGTCAAATCTGGTCATCTTTCCTTCAGTTACATCCCGATCACCGCAGACCCTAACAAAGTTGGGTGCAAGAGTTTTGGCAGTGTCGGTGGTTTCCACTTCGGTTTGCTGAGATTTAAAGGTCGATTCATGGATGAGACCTTCTTGAGTGGAAACGGGTTCAATAGCTAGATATGCTGATGATACGACGCATCCTTGTGGATTCTCGGCCAGCATGGTATAGTGGCCGGAGTCCTCCTGTCCCACTTGCTTCACTCTCAACGAAGCTTGGTTGTTCTGCAAGATACTCTCATACTTTTGGCTTTCCACGATTCTCTGCCCATTCTTGAACCAAGTGATTCTTGGTCTGGGGTTGGCGGATATTTTCGATGTGAACACCGCATCAGAGCCTTCAAGTAACTTGGAGTTTCGTGGTTTTTGAGATATCTGTGGTGGGGCCGCTGGGCCGAGAGATCTTTCCACGGTGGTTGATATTTCGGAATCTTTCTCGTAAGTGGAACGCTTCGTGATTGTTTCACGGAAGGATACTTCTCTAAGTAATCTGCAAGTTAACGGACATTTCATGATAACATGTTTAGTGGCAAAAAGTTGGCAGAGTTTCTCATCAGTTTTGCCGTTTTTAGCAATGATCATAAGTCATCTTACCTGTATTCGAATGTATCGATTTTGAAGTCTTCGGTAATTACAGTGCCGTTTGAATAGGAAGTCGTTTGTTCAAATTGGTTTTGAGAAAACCGTTGAGGCATCTGCATTCCCTCTGGGGAAATGTATACGGAGCACACTGCCTCTCCATATTGGTTGGTGGCGGTGCATACGTATTCGCCTTCGTCTCCAGGACCAATTTGATTTATCTAAGAGATGACTACGATTGTAGATCAATTTGAGGGAAAAACATTGAATGCAAAACACAAATAGTGAAAGTTTGCTAATAAAACTGTTTGTGCTTGGGAATCGATAAACTTTAGCCATTATTAGGAAACACCAAGAATAGAACTGATGATTAGCATAAATATACTCTTGATAAATATACAGCGTCTGTAGCTCATTGACAGGCAATTTTAGAGAAATATTTTTACAAAATTATTTTAATTTGCAAGTTAACTCAGAATTATTGATTTCAATGCTGAAAATGAATTCAAATTCATTCTAGCTTATACTCTAACCGAGTGAAAATTGATCCATTGAGTTGCTAAACAGTAAAACTGCAAGAAATTTTCGGCGTTCACAGTTCTAAGTCAATCATCTACGTTTAGTTCATCGTCTTGTTTGGCATTAACTTTTAAATACATTTCTGCTTTGGACGCAATTTGAAGTGTAAATTTAACTACGCCATGATGCGGTCTAATGATTTCGAAACACACAGAATTATCGTTTTCTACCAAGAAATAATAAAATAGTCTTGTTTGTCATCAAAATTTTGTATACATTTAGGCGATGAAACAAGGTGTTTTCTTAAATGTAGATTTTAATAGTCTATAAGCTTGATTCGAATTAATTCAGAAACCTAACAGTTTAACGGCGCCTTAATACACGTTTTTTATGTGCTTATAAATTTAATTATTGCCTTTACAAAGGTATTAATTTCTAAATGTTTTTGATTGAAATCGAAGGTGTAGATAAAATTAAAATTTTATCGAACAAGAGGCATCAATTTTTATATTCTCAAGTAATATTTCTATGGTTTTGTGAATGGAACTACTTTCCAGCTGGAAATTAAAATAACTATATCCAGGACTGACACATTCGAAAAATATTCAATTCAATGCCACTCATTATACAATTCTGTAGATATAATCTGCTAAAACTTCTTTATTGCAGCCTCTCCTCCAAAAATGGCAGAAAAGGCCCATTATCAAATCGCAAGTTTTTCATTTGGATATAAATATTTTCTTTTTTCTAAACTTTTTGCAAGTGAACTTGAATTTGTCGAATAGGCCGAAAATCTATGGATATTAGGTCAGCAGAACAACTGGCCTTTTTATACCCTTGCGATTACTCTAGAATTAACAAATTGCAAAGTTTTTCTAAATAGTGCCTTGATAAATTGTGAATGGTGACTAACGTAATAGCGTCATTTTCGAGAGTGATTTAACCTTTGCATCGTTTACAATTTGAGTCGGGAGCATTTCATGGTCTCTAACATTTGATTTCTGTCTCTGACGAACGAAGGGATTAAGTTTGCTCTTTTCTGTTAGTTTTTGCAAATAATATGAAAGTTATTCAATTTTTGCCAGAATGGTAGCCAACCTCCGGTAACGTAAAACCCATTTTTAAGTTGAGAATAAAACGCTTCTTCGCGTAAGGAGTGCAACCTCATACGTTGCCTCCCTTCTGGATTCTTCTGAACAGCACTTGTAATAATTAAATATATTGAGATTGGTTTATATACGCTATATTTTCGTTTCCATATCGAATAAGTCATTTTCTGTTTCACTCCCAATATTAATTGATTTTAAAGATATCAGTGAAAATGGGTTGTGGATTTTTACCTGGAGAGTGACATCTCCAGTCGTTTCGTTATATGAAAGTCGATGTTTCTGGGAACTGAGAAGTGGTGCGCCCTTTCTCGTCCAGGAAACGGTGGGTTGAGGTTTTCCGGTGATTCGGCCTTCGAAAGATGCAACACCTCCTTGTGCGAAACGGGCATTGCTGAATACCTTGTCGAACACTGGAGGTGAAGCGTTGGGTCCGAAACCCGGAATTTGCTGGATCTGTTCCTGAGTCAGCTGACCACCTTGCACTGGAAATTAAAATAATCACAGATTCAGTTGAGAAATACTAAGGCGTTTAATAGTTGTGAGATCAAGCACGCATTAGCAGTATTAATAATTTGCAGTTATTAGATAAATTATTTTTTTTAAGTTAGCATTGAGGAAAAATTCGGTCAAAAATTGGGCCGCCTAATATGAATATCAGAAGCCAAAAATGTGTAAAATTATGCAGATCTCGAAAAAAAAATAATAAAATAAAAAGTTAATTGCCAATTGGCATTTTTTTCAATGGATTTTCTAAGCTAAATTGTGTACAAATGTAAAAATTAATTTAATGCAAGAAACTGCAACGAGTGATCGTGTATACAGTTAAGAAAAGGAAGCAATTGAATTCTGCGTCATAATTAATTTGTGTAAAATCCCGATGCATTTCGGAAATGTCGTTTTATTCCAATAGTTTTAATCATACAAAACTTTTCATATGCAAATTTTACGTGAGCTGATTTTTACTGAGTCCTTCTATATTTCTGGGAACGCTTTTAAGTACTACCGTTTAACTCAATTGCCAAATTCGCCAACACGTCGCAAATTAAAATTCCTAAGTCTGAAGCAGCAAACGTTTCTACTAAAACATCGGGCATCCATCCTCTAACTCTTATCTCCGCTCAACCATCCTGTGTCACTTAATTCTTTATGTTTTTTGGAATTCTAATAACAATTATACATATTTTAAATTGCATTTGGTTACCAACTGAGTGGTAACAAATTATCTTCCAAATGATACTTGTTTCCAGTCCAATTGTCCAATATTCTGGATTGAGTAAGAAATTTTGATCTAAATATGGACAAAAGTGTGCGCGATTTAAGAAACATTGCAATTTCCCAATGCACCGTCACTGCTTCGGTTCGCATAATAGAAAAATAAGTCGGCTAAGTATGTGTGTCCGATTCGTTCAGTAAAAATAGTTGCTCCTAAAATGGACGCCTGAAACGCGATCCAATGGTCTAAAATTGTCGACGCCCCGGCTCGTCCCGACGCTGTTCGTTTTCGAACCCACTTACATTTTTCTGTTTGTCATTTTTCGAAGGTTCTGCATTAAGCTCAAAGAAGAATCTTTGATGTTTGTCATCATTACAAACTTAATTTGGATTTGAAAACGATACTCTAGCCCACATGCATTCGGCTTTCCAACTATGTGGATAGTGCAATCTCTATGTATTGTCCTACTCAAGTGAGACAAAAATCATTAACTAAAAAAATTTTAATAACATTTAAAGAATAGTCTCGACACATTTGATGATTTTCAACAACTCAAATTTTTGCACGAATACAATAATTTGTTATGTAAAAACTAGCTGGGATACATTAACATCCGTACTGAAATATTGTTACGATAGTTCAAATGCGAACTTTTGAAGTATCTGCCAGAATAGCTCCTATGTTGCTAATTGGCTGTTTATTTTGGCGAGAAATTTTAGATATTTTTGAACTTCTGTTTTGCAAAAAAACATGGCTTGGATTTTTTTATGGCTTTTGTAATGCGAAGCTTATTGTCTAACTTATCTGAACTTAGGAAGAAATAGGCTATCAAAAATATAAATATTATTTGTGTTTGTGAACTTGCTTCTGATTAATCTACTTGGTGTTTAATACTCTATTTGACTTGCCAAATTACTAAATTAATTGTTCATGAACTGCGCAAATAATAATAAAGTGACATCTATCTTTTTTATCGAATAATTATTTAGTTTTCAGTTAAAAAAGTCGTTGATCTATACTCGCATTCAAAAAACAGTTAATTATTTTGCATCTTTAAATTCAGTTATAAAATTACAGGCTTGCTTCAATTGAAAGGTTTAAATTTAGGGCGATTTTCAAATAGGATCTTGATGAGATGCACCGATGATCAACAATTCAAAGCAGTAAAAACTGTAATAATCTTATGGAGACCAACTTGCAGTTTTTTACTGCCGATACTGCTAATTTTACAGATGTGTTTATTGGTTTATTATGTCTCAACATTGTAGCCTTAATCTCAACTATGGCACGCTTATTTTTAGCTCAAAGCTTAAACATTTGTTCCTAATAATAGTTTGCCTGTAACATGAAATGGGATTTATTATTTAGGTATTCCAATTTAATAAAACGGATTCCAGTTGGTTGGAAGTTTTTGGAATATAGGTTAAAGTTTATAGAGCAATATGGAAAAGCTATCAATTTGTATAAATTAATTAGTGTCAAATATATTTTTCAGGATGACGACCTTTAAATTTTCGACCGTACTATTGATGTTTTTTATTCAACAAATAAGTCTAAATATACTTTTTTACAAAACTTAATCAACGATATCGAAATTTAACTAGTAGCAAATTCTGGTAATTCTCTCTTTCGATCTTGATAACATTTTAATTCTCTTACGACTTCATTGTCATTTAAAGCCAATTGAATTTTATGACGTACGATCCAAAAAGTTTCAAAGTCAACATAAAAATTCTGTTACATTATCTATTATTTTTGTTCGTTTCTCATCTAAATATTTTCACCTACTTTAGCTTGTTCCATAATTTTAATAATTATTAAAGTGTGCAATTGCCAGATGAGGACCAGTAGAAACAGATAAGACAATTTAAATATAAAAACAACGATACAAGAATTTTAATATCCGAAACTGGAAAGCAACATTTCACAAGTGTAGATTTGGACTGAGAGAAATGTAGCAATATTTTCGGTTGGCATTATTTGGAATGAAACATGAATTTTATACTTTTTTATACCTATCGAGAAAGTATGACGAGTCGCGTCCCAACTGTAACGTTTGAGCTTAAAAATATTATCATTATCTGTAATTACGTTCATTATAAACAGCATTATAATTTTTATTGGCATTACTCGAAATATTGGCAATACAGTTTCTATAAGGTTGCCAATTTTTCGAAGATACCAATTGCTTGAATCATTGGTCCATTTTAGAATAATATTTTATTGACTCATCACAAATTTTAATCTGTATGACAAATTATACGCTGGTGCATATAATGTGTGACTTAGAAATTTGCACCTCCTAAGTGTATTACTATCACAGATTTAGATCTAAAGTTTTTATTTTACATTGTAATTCGTAGGCTTACATGCTTGAAAATCCGATTATTAAGTTATTATGAGCCGAGAAAGTAACTATGGATATTAATCTGATTTGTTAATTCATTAATAAGGGAATAATCAATTATATAACCGAAAGTGCACTAGTTTTGCAACATTTATTGGAGTTTCCACTTAAGTAATTCATATCGGGAGTTCCCCCAAGTGCGTCAACCATTTTTTATGCATAATAAGATAGGCTTTAAAGTAAAACGGGAATCTTTTAACAGAAAATCTAAATTGTTTGTTGAAAAAGTGTCTTGAATCTTGAAGCAAATCATTTAATTGTATTTCAGTAAGAACCATTAGTCGAAGGTGCGATTTAATGTGTAATACTTAATATTCGGTTTTTGGTTACTTTAGATTATAAGAAGTTGAATACCAAACGTCCAGCTGCAACTAATAATCTGCTAATTTGCTTTAAAGTTAAATTGGAACAGCTAATATAGTAGATATAATTTGCGTAGAATTTACGATAAATTCAATGCTGCCAAGCGTTAAAAATTACTTCACTTTGTACAGATGAGCATGTTTCTAACTGCCATTTAATTGGCAAACCCGTAATTTATTGCAAAACAAAATGTTATAATCTAAATTTGCGTAATATGGAAAACATTGAAAAATATGTACGTATTTGAGCAATTACTGATTCAAGAAAACATTTTATGTTGTACTAGACTTTGTGTGCAACAATGCTTTTTTCGTTGACTGATTTTTTTTCATGGTATTTCTTGAATAGTGATAGTATTTATGATTTTTTTCAAGCCTATCTTTTTTGAGAAAAGTAACTTGGTTTAGATGTTTCTTTGGAATACTTGACATGAGTTACATTTGTGCGTTCTGAAGTGGCTTTTTCTGAACTTATTCGTTGCCAGAGGAATCCAACATGGCAAGTAGTTCATATGATTGGTGTAAGACCATTTAGCATTATGTATGTTTTTGAAAATCGACAGTTTTTTTATGGAACTTTGAAAATTAAACCTAGAATAAATATGTGTTTTGGTCCATTCTCGTTTCAAATATTGAGATCTTTAAACATTTTTAGGTTTTAAACAGTTTCATTTGTATGGCTATTCAGGTTCATCCTATATTCAACATAATTTTTTGATTGCTTAAAAAATCGCCACTCTAATATTGTCGTTATTTGCCTTTCTTAGCAATATTTATGTGTAAACGTAGAGTATGGAACAATCGAAATAAAGGCATCGAATGCATTAAACTGTTATCTTTTGCAGATTAAATATCCTTGTGAATTGTGATACATTTTTCTAGTTGAAATTGTGTTAGTTTTGATAAATATGTTTTGACAACCCAATTAAAAGTGAGTCGAGAAAGTTGAATTAGTTAATTGTGGAATGCTCTAATTTATTTTGCATGGTTCTGGTCCAGTGGCAGTGACACAATTTTTAATTAATCTGCTCTTATTGTTTTAATTACAGCGTTTCAATTTGGTGGAATTTTTCACTGTTTTTATCCGTGTAATAACTTAATTTAAGTGAAAAATTTGGACAATTTGTGCATCCGCGTGTTTTAAAAATCAAATTTTTGAAGTAAAGAAATGGAAAAATTTTGGTCTAAATTTTTATAATTCCAATATATCGACACTATGAGAAAAGTGATATGAAAATCCCTCATCATCTGAAAATAGAGTGTTACTAACTGTAGACGAAAAAAGATAAATAATCAGTTATGGGTCGGTTAAAATTTCCGGAGAATTGGCTCAGATCCAAGCGAACGTTTTCACTTGAGAGTGTTATGACATTTACAATTTCCAAACGGAATACGACTACTTCGAAGAGGAATTTTGCATTTTAAGGTATGGAATTTTGCAAATCACACGTTGAGTTAGTGTGCTAGCTTGATTATTTCGGGTTAGTTTCAACTAGGCATTCTTGACTTATGCTCTTTATTTAGGTTTGATTGGATACCTAATGAATAAACGATTGATTGGCTTTCAGCAAGCCAGTGATGAAATTTACTTTGCATTTTCTAGGGCAAAATTTTGGCGTAAAACATTAATTCGGTATTTTTATAACTGATTTTGCATGCCAAATTCTGAGCATAGCACGCAGTGGGATTTGACCCGATTAAGATCGGGCGCATTCGGGCAAACATTTCGTCTGCTCTATGATCCCATGCGCAACAAGCCTCAACGGACCCGCAACTTTTAGATTTGAATCGGAGCAGATTCTGCTCAGATGTGCGCAGTTTTTATTTTCACAATTCTCAACGTATTAGCAGTTTTTCGTAAAACTTCATGCAGCAACCGCAACAACCGCCTTGAGCAAGCAGCTAATATGTTTCAGTGATACGACTAGAATACATTGATGCGATTAATTCGTGCTCTTGTTTTAACCAATGATCGTTTGGTATCTGTTCGATGATGATCATGACACGCAGACAGGCAAAAAAGCAAAGCAACAGCTTGATGATTAGAAGATCAGACGACATGACAATGCTGATAAAATCGCTAATCCTAACCTGTCATGTGCCCAGTAACCTGCCGGGTGACATGTTGCTCAGTTCTGGTCACCCGTTGCTGTTGTTGCTGGGTGGATGTCTGCTGTTGCTGAGACGTTTGCTGCTGCGATTGCTGCTGCGATTGTTGCTGCTGTTGTCGATTCATTTCGTCACCACAAATATTTCACACAGATCGATTTAAAAAGTCGATTAAAGAATAAATAAAATAATAACACTAAGAAATAGAGCACAAATAATAAACGTTAAATCACCACACGATAGAGCGAGATGAGTAAAAATCAATTGGATTTGAGTCTGTTCGTCGATTGGGCCTGCGTTTGGCTCCTGAAAGCTGGATTCAAGTCATCATCCCCGAAATCATTAAGACGTCGGTCGAATACGAGTTGCGAGCGAAGAATGAGGCGTCCCGGGCGTCTCCCGCATTGCGCCGCTGTGCCTTTCGGGAGGGAGCTTGCAGAGTTATTTTTGGTTCAGCTCGGCCCGATGAGTTTTTTGAGTATTCGTTTTGTATGGAACACATTCGGGCACATCTAAAACACACCGGCGTTTATCACAGGATCGACAGGGATAAGGTGCGGCGGGAGCAGTTGCTCGCTTCCAAACGAAACAGCCATATGATGACTTATTGGAAAGTATTTGTGCAGGTGGGATTATTAATCAGATGAGACGGATTTCAGCAAATTCTTCTAGATCACCTCGTCTAAAACGAAGCGCTGGCGCAAAAAAACATTTGAGAACGTTTTTGGATCAGTAATCATTTTAATGAGAATGCAGGTTTACATGGAAAACGGATATTTAATACTTACTGCCATAATTCCGAATCCCCCGGATCAAAGTTTCACAGCTATTTTTATTACAATTGCGCATGCAACTATCATATTGGCTTATATTGGACATTATCCATAAATATTAAGTCATAAATTTTATCCAAATTAACCTAATTAGTACAAGTAATTGTTCGCTTTGTTATCATTTTCAACTTTTTTTCAGGCTATTGGTTAAATGGGCCATTCCACTTACCCGCTGCGGGCAAGAGTCCTTCAGGAGACTCAGGCCTCCTATATGGTTCAGGAGATTCAGTACGTCTTCCCGTATTGAGCTGGCGGTAAGTACCATACATATGAGATGGCACCCCTGAAACCAAAATAAGTACCTATAAAAAAAATAGAAAATTGCGTTGTTAGCGGCATCTCAACTAAATGTGGTTGACGTGTCATAAACTAATTTGTTGGCTTCCTCATGTACGGATTGAAACAAAAAGACAAGTTTAAGAGAGTTTATTCCTAGATAGTTGAGCGAAAATGAATGTTGAAGGAGAAAAACGGGGAAATGATGTCCGTTAATGCTGAAATGACTTTTACTAACGAACATATGTGATTTTCGTGTCCCACCAGGATATCAATCATTGCAGTTTTTCTATTCTATGCCTAGACAATCAATCAGCAGTTGCTACCATCATTAGTAAAGTTCAAGTTATATGCGATTATTTCAATCCCAAGTGAAATTATGTTCCAGTTAATTTTATGCGAGCCTTGACCTCACTTAGTTCTTCAGTTTGATTCGATTCTTGCTGGAATTGATTAAGGTCCGTAACGTAAAAGCTGAGGTTGATGCAATACGTTCCAACACGGTAAATTGGAAGTTATGAGCATGGCGTTGTAACTTTTCAAACTATAATGGAAACATTAAATAACTCCAATAATCGGCTTTACTATTATTCTGCAACAAAGGTTTAGTCCAAATTGTTCATTTGCAACTCAAAGAGCAAACAATAATAGTGCAGAAATAATACGTTTTTATTTTGCAACCTAAATTCTAAATATCAAGTGCATCGATAGCGATTACAACGTTCTCAGCTGAAGGCGGCAATTAATACTATTTGTTTGGGACAGTTTGTTCAAAAGTCTCAGTATTAAACAGAAACATTAGTTGGTTAACGGAATTAATCCGAATCCCTTCCCAATTTGCAACTCTTAAAATTTCTAAAAAACGCGAAGAATAAAGCAAATTTTTCAAATATGGAATATCTGGAGAAGAGTCACCGATACAAACACTTCTTGGAACTTGGAACTTGGAAGAGAAAAACTTGGAAGAACAAATTAAAAATTGTTTTACAAGGAGAAAAATAGTGACATGTCAATGCATCAAGTTCTAGAGATGGTTTCATGTGGATTTTATTTAAATGACCCTCTCCAAAATTGCTGCAAAAGAACTTTTAAAACTATAAAGATGCTCCTTTAACGCGGACTTTTGTTGGAAATTACTGCTACTATAAAAGGATCAAACTTCGTTTTTAGCTTAATTTAATTAAACGAAACTTATATTTACTATTTTCACAAACCCGCATAAAAAAGTTTGCATTTGTCATATAGAAAGCAAAAACATTTCAAATAGATTCCGCAATCATCTGAGCCCGTTGAGTCAGGAGTACATTTTCAATCCAGAACACGAGCAATTTTCAACCTGATTTTGGAAAAAAGTCGATGGAAAATGAAATATCATTAAAACTATTATTATACCGATAATTACAGGTTAAAAGAGCAGTTTTAAATCAAAATGTAAAATCTATCCAATCAGAATTAACAAATAATCTAATTTTGATCCTGGTAGATAAACAGTAACATTAACAGAATAAAAATTCATATTAACGCCTTGTTTCTCCTGGGAAGAATTTTTTATAAAACTGTTTTTGTCGACAAAAAACCATCCCTCAATTTTACTGTCTTTATTTTTCTGAAAGCCCTAAGATTATTAGAGATATCTTAAATACGGTTTTCCTTAGGTTCAGCAACCTAAAGTATGTAAAGTGGTAAAAATCATTCGATCGTTTAGTGTTTTAGAGTGTTTTCGAATTTAACGATTTTTTGTTCGCGTTAATTTTTTTTCACGTACATTGTCAGTGAGTTTTCGGTTGATCGGCAACTATCTCAAAACTGATTTGCAATTTATATTTTTTCCTTATTGAAGCACTTTATTCTGCATACATTAAACACTCTACTGTTTACAGAATTTCTCCATTTGTTGGATGTAAACAGATGGAAATAAATGGGAGTTATCCATATTTTGTGTGTTCTCAAACATTTTAGATCTGAAAATTCGCTGGCAGATTTTGTTCACGATCTGTATGATCAAGATAAAATATATTTTCTAGCTATGTTCAAAATGTAACTTTWWAACACATTAATAGTTAACATTTGTCCGATACTTCAACTTACACCAAATTATTAAATATTTTTATAATGCATCAATTTTGCTTCGATACCTTAAAMGTAGAAAAGCTTAAGTTTTARACTAAAAAGTAAAATGCTTGACTGMATTTGTAGCTTGATGTTGACTCTGAGTAACAATTATCTAATACGKCATTCCAGCTMGCARAAACGATTAACTTAATAAGTATTAAGTTAAGTTAATAAATAAATAAGCAAATTTCTKRTRATTCCACATTGTTACTTAATTTAATCTTTATTMAGATTTCCTTTCTCCTTTTGGCAGGATTATTTATTTGTTTTGTTACAGCTAAGTTACATAAAATTAATATGTGATTACATTGCAGCTTACCTGAGTGTAATCCTAAAAATATCTTAAACAAATTTAGCGTGGCCAAGTTGACGGTGAATCATATTTTAAAAATTGTGCCAAAAGTCTTATTTCTGCTTCTTGTTTTGAAAACGGATTTTTTGTCAGTCGGCTAATTTTAGTTTTATGATGTGCCCGATGAGTATGAATTTGCATGATATAATTTTACGCTCTTATGTGGAAATCATGGAGGTCAAGTTTCAACAAATAAATTGCTTAAATTGAAATACAATTTTAAAGTATTATAAACGATGGTGCATTTTGCGACTTAAAATATTCAATATTTATTCGTTGACATACATTTTTAATATTGCCCATCAAGCCTTCGTTTATAACACCACTAGAAAGTCAGAATTAAATTAGTAAAATGCTTACGAATGGTTGCGCAGTTTTTGATTTATTTGCTACTATACCGCCCAGATTTCGTTTAGGTTCAAATCTTAAAATATGATAAATCGGCCATAAAGCGGATGTTGTTAAAAATAGCGCATTCTATATTTGCTATTAGGCTAATATGTAAAATAAATTCAAACTACAATATTATGGCTGGTGATTTTGGCATAATTGAGCCATAACGCCTTCAAACGTCACATATAATATATTTTTTAAATATTTTCGAAATAATTGTTATAGCTTTGAGGATGCTCCAAATATGAGCTTTTTGTCACTCAAATTTGCTGAATTGCTAACCCAAGGAAGATGATAAAAAGCACCCACCTAGAGTCGTAAATTACAAACAATTGTTTAATTTAATTACAAAATATTATCTATCAATCAAGGACACTCATTGGTTTGAAACCAATAATAATTTGTTCCGAAAAAAATCGATTTGAACCAATTTCACAGAGAGATACAAACGGGAAAAATTATTCTTAAGCTTATTATTTTATAATAAATGACACTTATAATTATTCGTGGCTATTGAAATTACTGACTGGGGCTCTGCAATTTCCGAACGATTTAATTCAATTTTCCTTAAATGTTGCCGCTATTTCAAAAATGGACTAGAACTTTATTTCTTTACTGTCGGGAAAATTTACAAAAAATTTGGTTTTATTTTACATTTCTGAAAATTCTAGCATTTTACAACGGGGCCAAAACAATCGTAGACGACTCATTTATTTTCGATGTAGGAATGTTCAAGTTGTTTTAAAAATAAGTGTGTTGTTCGGGCGAATGCTTTTAAATCATTTGTGAAAGTTTGTTTACTCAGATGCCCAATTTAAAAATTGCTCTAGAAAGTTTACATTAAGTGGATCAAGACTTTAAGAAGCGACCTTTCGCATGACAATATCAATACCGTGTTTTATTTCGCATTTTGTCAATTTTACAAAAGAAGAACATTGAACCTTAGAGTGAAGCTTGCTATATTTTATATAATTTTTCTCATATACCTTATTAAATTAACTTTTTCTATAGGTATCATACATACATTTTTTAAGAATCTGTTTTTTGTTTTACTTTAATTGGAAATATGAGTGGAAACGAGGATTGGAACTGCAATAACGTAGTTTCAAATTTGTTCCTAACAGGCGACATCGTTCAAGTAAAATTTGTAGGTACTGCGGAGTAGTTATTTTCAGATCTTGAAAATATATCTCCAGTGTTATTTTTATTTGGGTCACTTTACGTTCCAAAATAGAGAAGATATATATGACAATTTGAAATTAGCCGACGTATTACTAATTTTTGTTAATTGGTTTTGACATTGTTGATCTTGTGAAAGCTTTCCATCTACAAAAGAACAAGCCACCTTTCTTTTCAGCAAAATGTAAAAGCCCAGGGCAAAAGTCAACAAGCAGCATAACGGTTTAGACTATGAAAAGTTCCAAAATTTTCAAAAATAACCAGTATTTCATTTTACATACATTTATTTACTAAAATATTAAAATCGAGAAGGAAAGGAAAGAAATTAGCTTTGTTGGTACTATTATTACGTCGTGTGATCGAATAGTGTATAAAATCATGTAAAAGTATATTTTATTGGTGAGACCCTGGCCTGACTTTTCTTGCTCTGGAATATTTATCCACAGATTATTTACAAGCTTAAAAGCTGCTCTAATTTCGATGTTCTCGGAATTTTTTTTGGGCAGAGCCTTTAATCTACTTCTCGATATTTAAGATTAGTCGAAAATATTCAACTGTATTACCAAATGCGATTTTTTTAAAGCACATGGTAGCCTTGACAGTCAAAGTGAAAATGCGTCCTCGGAGACTCGAAAAAGTACAGTATGAGATTAATACACCCCCACGTATAATGGAAACTTGCCCAAAACAGATCTTTAAATAGATCGAAATCAAAAGCAATTCTATTAAATTATTTGCAACTTTGGAAGGCGCATTAATTTGCAGCATAATTTTTATTATTTCATATAGTCGCCAAGATTAAAAATAGCAGGCAGTAAAATAATCCTTATGGATTTTGTTATGATGATGTTGATGATGAGATTTTCTTAAAATTTTCGAGAGATATTTAAGTTTAGTATTTCTTAGACAGAAAATTGGTGGTTTATTGACATTATTACTGGTTGTTTCGCTTGCGTTTGAAGCAAGTTTATCCATTCCAGGCTATGCGAAGAACTAATGTATTTTAAAGTTTTGGCCGAAAATATAAATTGAAAGCAAACATTTCAGAATTTGCAATACATCGACAGGTTAACTAAGTTTCAATAGGACCGATAGGAAAAAATAAGTATGCATTCTACACAAATACAGAAAATACTTTCAGTCGAAAAAACATATACGAAACTCGAATTCCAGTAATCCACTGAAAGTAAAAAGTAGATTTCTAGGTCTAGGTCTAAGATAATTTGCAAAAATAAAGCCAAAATAATGGAATGGACTGAAATACAAGCAATCCTGCAAAAAAACATACTTAATCTGATACAAACCTTACAACCTTAGTAATGTGGAATCTTTCATTTACCTGCAACCGTAAAAAACTAAAAAACTAGATGCAGAACTTTAAATGTAAAAATAATCATCAGTTAATAGACATATAAAAATAGTACAAATTCTTGATTCGTAATTGGGAAAATCGTTTTTAATTGATTTATTCCGACATGTTTTCCGAATAATTTTCTATCGCAACGGGATTTTAAATTACAGGGTTTTACATTCAAGTATAATTTGCTTTCCTTTGTTTGTGAACATATTTACATCTGAAACAGAATAAGTTTCAAAATAATAAATGGTTGAAAAAGGTTTAATGTTTTTACTGTCTCTTACTGTCTTTAAAAAAATACATTTTGGTTAATCTCTGTTCTATTCCAGCAACTCACTGTTTGATAAAATGCTCCAAATCAAGTTATTGAAGAAGGTATTTTCTTAATGTGAATATTTTTCTATGATATGGATACATTCAAATACATAAATCTCATGTTACATCTAGAAAAAACTTCAAAAATCTGATCGTTTCACGCTCTTAAAAAGATCTTTTTGAAAACGTATCCTTTGAAAAAGGCCAATAATTAAAGTTGTAAATTAATAAATCAACTACAATTGACTGCTCAAACGTGAGTAAAAATTAAATAAATATTCATACTGATGTGTTTGTAACTGTTACTCTTACTAAAACTATTTTTTTTTGTTAATATCCTTCCATTCCATCAGTAAAATTTGTAGTTAAATTTCATCCAGGTGTTATGGCTCTGAAGCTTTATGATTGTAGTATTAATAAAACATAGATTACTAATAATATATACATATAATACATGTTTATGGAATTATACATCAAACCCTTGTACCAATAAGGCTGTTACCAAGTTAGGAAAGGAGGTGGGTGCAAATTGACTACAAGATTATTCTGCAAAAAGCTTTAATTCAAAATGATACATTTATATCTAATTGCTAGACATCGGATAAACTGAAACGCATGATACACTAAAAAATATGAACAGTAAAACTAACGAGTAATGACCAGAATGAAATTCAATATGACTAAAATGCGCTCGATAAATAAATTGTAAACTTATTCTGAATCTAAATCTATACAGCACAATGAATAAATATTTTGCACGCGTCGGAAGTTCGTTAAAAGCAAACACTTTAAATAGGAAACAGAAAATAATGTATTTTCCTGGAAGTTATCCATTTGACGGCAGTGAGCTAGATTGTTCGAAACTTTTCTTTGAAAAAATCTTTGAATCGTGCGTTAGAGTTGAGTTAAAACCACCACCAGCATTTGGTTCCAAAACTACTTAAGATATTGAGACCGTCTCTCACCTGGTACTTGTAGGGTAGCTGTTGTGTTGGTACTACCGACTGGGTTTGTTGCTGTACAGGCGTAAGTGCCAGCATCTTCTGCAAATTTCAAATGAATGTTATGTTATTACTTAAGTGTCTTTGACTTAAATTTTTTAAAATTTTAGGATTGCAATTAATGTTTGTCTGTTAGGCTACTAACCTGGGTACGCCTGCTTAATAATTAGGCGGCAAACACCATTCCTAAAGTGGATTTGGTGATCGTTTGAGTTCTCCAGGATTCTCCCGTTCTGCGACCATAAAATATTAGGGGGTGGTTCCGACTGAACTATACACTCGAATTTGGCTGTTTGGCCACTAACAACTGCAATATCACGTAAAGGCTGCAAATAAATGGGTTTATTAATTGTTAATTGTCAGTGAGTTTTGAAACTTTTTAAAACCGTATTATTTTGAGTCATCATTTTCGCAAAAGATCAATTTTAAGCTCACCGTTATAAATAATGGCGGTCTTGGTTGTCCAGGTTGGATAATAAATTTATTCGCACCGGGGGTATTTGGGCGACTGGGTGGAGTCTGCGCGCCAACCCGATCTGTAATTAAAAATCTACATGAAGAAAATTGGATTTAACAGACTTTTGCCACATTAAAGATAATTAAATGCAGAAAAAATTAACTGCAATGCTGCAAAACTGCTGGAAATAGTGGGCAGAAAAGAATCAGAAAATTTAGCTAAGCACCAAAGTCAGATGAAATGTTTGGTTTACATTGCAACAGAACCGCAAGAAGATTCAGTACATCTCATTAAATGCAGTTGAGTGACAGTAATTTAAACATAATGCTCAAGATCAGTTAGAAATGTTTCGACTTAAATCCTAAAATCGGCCACGAAATGCGAGCTGTTTTGCGATTTTTAACAAATAAGTAGAAAACACTGACTTAGGGGATAATTTTACGCCGTACGACTAGGGAAGAACACGTGGTATATCTATTAATAACTTCAACTGCAGCAGATACATAGATTTTCCAATTAAAGCAGGAAAAACCTCGATTTTTGTTAGAATAAACGAATCTAGGGAAGAAGGTTTAGAGWATTGTCGAATCGCAAGCAAAATATGAAAATGTAAGTCGAATTTAGAATCTCACAAATAATTAAATAATAACATTTTTTGACTCRATTTGAATCGTTTAGAARAARTGRTGTCGAAAAAACTTCACAKTTGTACAAAAAAAGATTCGATYATTTAGMGATTTKCGAYTTGGATATAAATACAAGAATGAAAGAGTGAATTATTTCGGACTTGGAGTATATTAAAATTGAATATTTTGTTTCGCGACAAAAATAATTAGCCAGTTTATTCAACTGGTGGACACAAAATCGTGAACATGAAAATGGGTCATTATCAAATGGGGTTTTGGCGAAACGATCTGTAAAACCAATTAAAAGTTGCAATTCAACAATGAGGCATACAAGGCAAAATAATGCCATATCGAAAAGTAGAAGGAATTTTAATCATTTCAGAAACGAAAGTTGGTCAAATACTTTCAAGCAAAGTGCTGACGGCTTCGAATTTCGGTTATTTTCCTCAAAAATTGACCATTCCTTGGCGTTCCAGAACTTGATTATTGATCCAGCAATGATACAGATATGATTGTTTTTTTTAACAAGTTTTTTGTTGACTTTCTGCCTATGTTCGATATATCTATTTAAAAATGTCAGTTGGAGAACTCACCAAAACATTGGATCTCGAAATAGACAGTTTTTTAACATGAGAAGCACAGAAGACCATCGTTTATTCAGATGCTTCTTGTCTTTTTTTATCTCAAATAGATCAAACATCTCAAATCTCAAAACAAATCTTCTCTGTCATTAAATTTCTTAAAATTTCTTGGAAAAATGAAAAGAATTAAATTGAAAGAATGAAAAGAAAGAAATGAAAGAATTAAATTTCTTGAAAAATCATCTAAGTAACTTTCCAGCATCTTCAAAGTAGTCAAGTGACTAGAAAACCCAAAGCCATTCAAAGCACACCAAATACCTGCATAAGTATGATTAAAAGCAGGAGAAGTACTAGGCAGACTAGGAGACAGCGAGTACGGACTACACGACGACGGTTCCCATCGCGAACCTTGAGACAATCCAGATTTCCTCTTGGAGTCGCCTTCGTATTCTGACATTTCACTCTCCGAAGTCGGATCCCATTTGTTTGTGAATTTTTTCGGTTTGAATTGCGGCGTTGGGGCCGAATTCGAGCTGTTTACGTTATTCAAGTTTGATGTTTCGTGGTAAACAGGCATGTCAATGTCCACGGTTCTTTTAGGAGGTTCGATCACTGTCTTCTTTGGCACTGGAATTCCCCCAGACTTTGATTCTCCCGGTAAAACAATTCCGAACTCGTAGCCGAAATCGTATTTGAAATAAATTAGTCCTGTATCTGGATCCACGTGTTTTGTTCCTGGGGAAGATAATTTAGATGTTAGGCAGTTAGTAGAATCTAGCGTTTTATTAGAATTATAAAAATGCTTCAATAATTAAACCATTTGCTTTTTGAAGTCAGTTAAACCGTGAAATTTAGCAGAGTTAAAGGCGAAGTTTTTCATGTTTTTTTTTAAGTTCCAGCTTGTTATTTATCATCCTTATGTTACCCCAGTTATTGATTGTTTGGTCAATTTTATATTTTATATAATTCTAATGTAAACTTGTTACTTACCATGGCTCATGGCTCTCGACTCTTCTCGGTAAACTTGGGCATCTCCATCAGTTTCCGTTTTCGCATTGGATGTTTGCTGCTGCTTTTTGCTAACATCGCTCATAATGTCTTGAACGAATTGCTGAGTCTTAGACTTGAAGTCCTTGGTCATGCTGTTCATGTGTTGAGAAGCTAGTTTGGTTGCTGACGTTTTTGT